TATATCTTTTATACACACAATAAATTTTAATATTGCTATTAATATGTTGTTTAATGACACATAATAAAACATTAAAATTTGATAAACTTGAATTAATTTAGTTATTTTTTTCTACTCAATAATATTAATGACTTAAAATATAATAATAATAATAATAATAATAATAATAATAATAATAATAATAATAATTACTTAATAAATCATACATCATTAAATGCAGATGAAGAAAAATTTAAACTTTTACCGACACACGGGTACTGGTAAAACAGAACTATTATCAACAGATGTTTACTCTTGTAGAATACTCTATTGGTAAAGCAGAAATTTCTTTTGTAAAATAATCACCAGTTGATACGTTACCATCTCTTGAATAACATAAGATTTTTAAGTTTATTCTTCATCTGAAGATAAAAATTGTTATTATGTTTTTAATTTCATTTAATAAAATAATTTCATTATGTTTAAAATACTCAAAAAATGCAAATTTCATTGTAAATTCAAAACATTTATTAAAAGACAACAAATTTATTTTCTTTTAATGATATTTTTATTTTGAGGTGAATTTTAATGTTTTTTAATAAAAATAAATTTTAAGCATTATTTTCAAAATAATGTTAAAGTTGAAATAATTTTAAAAATCTTCACAAAACTATAGTTTATTTATTTATAATATTATTATTTATAAATTAAATTCAAATTTTTTTAATTAAGGGCTGTTCACAAAATACGTAACACTTTTTTTGAGAAATTTTAACCCCCCCTCACCCCATGTAACGCTCAGTTAATACATTAGCGCCATTTTTTTGGCTATCCGTAACAAATTACTTGACCCCCCTCCCCCTGATGGGGGTCAAGGGGAGCTTACGTATTTTGTGAACTTATATAAAACAATTTATTAGTGAATTAGGGTACTTTAATTTAAAAATTGATTTTTATAGAAAAACATTGCACGAAATTCAAAACATTTTCTATATTTTTTGTTCTTATGACTATTTTATTTTATATGAATTTTAAAATTCAATATAAGTTTATAAATAATTTTTTTTAAATTTACATTAAAGGAGAAATTTGACAAGTATTTCTAAGTTTGAACAAACCAGTCTGACCATTCGTGGGTCTATACTACTCAATCACTGACTCTGTGGCATGTAGAAAACTTTCAGTAGAGGAAACCACTGACCTCAAGCCTATTAAATTGCAACTGAGGTTTGAATCGTATTAATTTCCTCTACGTGTATTTTTTCATTTTTCAATTCGATTTTTTTTCTCCGAATAAAATGAAGCTCATATACTTTTTTTTCCCTTGACATGTTACATTTTACGAACACGATCAGATATCTTAATATATAAAGTATTTTATGTGTTTCACATATAAATCTAGAATTTTTTTATGCCCTGAAACTCGAAATCGAAACATAAATAAATATAAACTATTTGCAATATAAAAACATTTTACAAAGGATATTTAAGTTTAATTTTTTTTTTTAATCAAAAAAAAATAGTTGCACAAGATTTTATATTAAAAATATTTACAGAAATTATTTTTAAGAGACCATTATCTATTGTCTTTGAAAAAGAATTTAAAAGATAAAATCCTTTCGTTTCTCTTTGTTTCTTCTTTATTTTACATTCGCTTCTATTTAGAGATGAATTTAAAAATAGCTTTTTATACTCTTATCAAAACTACAATTTTATCTTTTTAGATACTTTACTGACTTTCTTTCTTGGCCTCAAAATCTTTATAAAGCTCATTTTTTCTAACTTTTCTTAAGTTTTACATAAGATAAAGAGAAGAAAAAAAATTTTTTATTATGAAAGTACTACTCCTTCATATTTCAAAATTCTTTTGTTAAGAAATAATGATTTTAAAAAATAGCTAGTAATTACTATAAATTTGCTGAATTTATATAGATGGAAAAATGGTGAAAATAACTTTGAGTGAAGTTTACACAACCACTAATACTAAGCTATTGTAACCCCACCAGTTACATTTACTGTCCTTTATCCAACCTGTCGGCCACATTAAGTTTGAGAGCAAGTGGAACGTTAACTATATAGGTGGGACATGTTCCTTCATCAGCAGTAGTTTGATTTCATGATGTTTCAGCTTATAACTTTCTATAAAGTCATTTAAGTTACAGAAATATAATATTTTAGTTAAAAAAGTATAAAATTTTATACAATAAACAAACTCTCGTGTAAAATTAAACATTTCTAATAAGCAATTTTTTGGAGCGCATGATTATGTCATAAAAATCATTAGGGTCAGTTGGGGTAAATGGGGACAAAATCGCTATTTTTCACAAATTACGTAAGTTTCTTTCTTTAAAAGGTAATATTTGCGGTTTTTTTTTGTTTTGTTATTTACGTTCCTAGGATTAATTTTATGCAGCAGAAAAAAATTTAGATAAGCTTTAAACTCATGAAACTGACTGTCCCCATTTACCCCAAAATTTAGAAAATTTCATAAAATTCGGGGTAAATGGGGACAGCATAATTTCTAAGAAAGTTTTAAGAAAAAAGTTTCCTTAAGTATATTACTGTATTAAGGGATGAAAAAACTTGAAAAAAATTTGTAGTACACTGAGAAAAAGAATTTAGTGTTTGCAACAAAATTGTTTGGTTAGGCAATTTTGGTTCTTGTAACCAAATTTTGGTTGACTGAAACAAAGTCGTAGAGTTATCTCAACCAAACATTTGGTTAGGCCAAGAAAATTATTTGGTTGAACATTTTTAAATTCCAACCAAAATTTGGTTACGAGAACAAAATTATTTGGTTACGACATCAAAATTATTTGGTTAACACAACAAAATAGTTTGGTCTAAAAAACCAAATGATCATTTGTTGTCCTAACCAAAGTTTGGTTGCGACAACCAAATAATTTGATTCGCTCTCAGCTTAAGAGAACAGTTAGTTTAAATCTCTCACAAGGATGGGTAGTCCAGTGGTTAGAGCTCCCAACCTTCAGTTTTAAAACAGAGGTTCGATCCCAGGCGGAGATGAGATTTTTCAAAATCCACAAATATTTCAATTGGATAAATATAAATTCAATGTTAATTTGTTAATAAATAAATAATGAAATAAATAAAAGAGAAAACAGAAAAGGCAGAATAAAATTTTTAATTTAAAAAAAAAACTGTTTGTTTGATCAACCAAACATTTTTGTTGACCTAACAAAAAAAATTTGGTTGAGCTAACCAAACATTTTTGTTATGCCAACAGTAAACACTCAACCAAATTTTTTGGTTGCTTAAATACCAACAAAATTTTTTTGTTGGCCCAACCAAATTTTGGTTGCTCTAACTAAACATTTTTCTCTGTGTAGATATATAATAGTTGAACCAATTGAAATTTTTTTATTTTTTTTTATTTCAGTATTTTGTCTCGGATTTCAAAGAAAACAGACTTAAAAATCATACCAAATTTTTTTCTTTTTCCTTATGACTCCCATAACAGAAATTCACTTGAATTTTCGATTTTTGTTAATTTGGTTAATAATGACAATCTGTCCCCATTTACCCTGAGTTTTCAAATTTTTGGGGTAAATAGGGACAGCTTGTCATTATTAACCAAATTAACAAAAATCAAAAATTCAAGTGAATTTCTGTTATGGGAGTCATAAGGAATAAGAAAAAAATTTGGTATGATTTTTAAGTCTGTTTTCTTTAAAATGCTCGACAAAATACTGAAACAGTTTGACTTTGATTTTCAAGTTTTTATGCATTGAGCGATAACTTTTTTTATCTTGCTGCCAATTGTCAAGATAAAAGCTTGGCAATACTCAAAACCTCTTGCAGGTGATCTGAGGTTAAAATATTGACGTTGAACTTAATTTTAAAACTATAAATTAAGCTCCAGAACCTCTTGTCCCCATTTACCCCCTGTCCCCATGTACCCCAACTGACCCTAATTAGAATTTTCATTTTCAACCATTTTATTAGATATAATTATTTATTAGGCAAATTTTCATTTTTCGAATAAACATTTGACAGAATTTCTTTTTGAACAAATTTTTACTTTACAGAATTCTTATGTATAGAATTTTCATTGTACAGAATTCTTAAAGCACGGAATTTTTATTTATCCGAAATTGCAAATGGCCAAACAAACAATCGATTTCGGCGCGATTTGTAAAATCCACCAATTACGATTTTCTTGACAACTTTTGATTGGTGAATTTTAAACATCGTGCCAAAATTTTTCTAAACGATTGTTTGTTTGGCCATTTGCAATTTCGGAGAAATAAAAATTCGGCTTTTTAAGAATTCTGTACAATAAAAATTTGATTCATAAAAATTCTATTAAGTAAAAATTTTTTTAAAAAGAAATTCTGTCAAATGTTAATTCGAAAAATAATTATATCTAATTAAAATTCTTTAAAATGAAAATTTTAACTAATGATTTTTATGGGATAATCATGCGCCCCAATTTTTTTTTTACAAACTATTTGATTATTAATTTTTTTGTTTTTTACTTTACGATATTTAACGTTAAAATGGTGTTGCGGCTTCATTGAAAGTGTTCAGCTAGGAATAGGGGAAGAAGGGAAACTGAGCAAAAGGAAAAGTTCAATCAATGTAGCTTCCAACAACTGTCAATCGTAGTTTCCGACAGGGTTGCCAATGCTTTACAAAAGGCTCATTCTATCACGTGAGCTAGATACCCTCGATCTTGGTAGAGAAACAAAAGCAATACCAGTGAATTTTTTTTTCTTTTTTTTTTTAAACAAAAGAAGAAATCAATTGTCACTTCTAAATACCAACAGAATGTTTTTGTAAAAAGCTTCGAAAGCTTCTAGTGAAAATAAATTTTATTTTTAATTTTCCTATTATTATCATATTTCGCATTTGTCAAAGTTTTAAAATAAAATTTAAAATTAAACCAACAAATGATAAATTTAAAGAGTCACATTAACGATAAGATATATTTATAAAAGAATAAACATAAATGCTTGGAACGCATATTGTGATAATTAAATCCATTCAGTTAATACTAAACAGTGAGTGTTATTCATATTTTAAATCATGGATTTATTAACTATTTTTCTTATTTTTCTTATTGGAATAATTTTCTATTATTTTAATAAGAAAAAAAATATTTTTGACGAATTAGATATTCCATACGTACAACCGAAACCGTTTTTTGGAAATGTAATACCTTGCATATTACAAAAATTAAATTACATTGAACTCGTTACTAAATTGTATAATACTTTTCCAAAAGTGAAATATTTCGGTATGTTTGATTTTCAAACACCAGTGATTGTGATTCGTGATCCAGAAATCATTAAATTAATTGGAATAAAAAATTTTGAATCATTTACTGATCATCGGGGTTTTACTAATGAATCGATCGATCCTATTTTTGGAAGATCTCTATTTTCATTGAAAGGCGATCAATGGAGAGAAATGAGAACAATACTGAGTCCTTCTTTTACATCGAGTAAAATGAAAATGATGTTTAATTTAACAACAAATTGTGCACAAAATTTTACAAAGTCATTAATTGAAAAATCCAAGGATTTAGATTACATGGTGAATCTTAAAGATGTCTTTACGAGAGTTAGTGCAGATGTGATTTCAACATGTGCCTTTGGTGTAAATATTGACTCAATGAAGGATCCGAAAAATAATTTATATGTCATTGGTCGAGAAGCAACAAATTTTGATGGTATACTTTCACTTAAATTTCTTCTCATTCGAAATTTTAAAATGATATCTAAACTTTTTCGAATAACGATTTTTAATTCAAAAGTAAATCGTTTTTTTACCGATGTAATAAATTCAAATATTACAATCAGAAGAGAAAAGGGGATCAATCGACAAGATTTTCTTCAATGGATGATGGAATTTCAAGATAAGAATAATGAAAATCGAAAATTGAGTCTTGAAGAAATTGTTGCTAATGTTGTACTTTTCTTCGTTGGTGGTTTAGATGCTATTTCTTCAACCTTATCATTTGCTCTTCATGAAATAGCTGTCAATCCAAATGTGCAAAAAAAATTGCAACAAGATATTGATGATATTTTAGAAAATTCCCAAGGACAACCAACATATCAGGACATAATGAATATGCCATATATGAATGCGGTAGTTAATGAAATTTTGAGACTTTATCCAATCGGACAGGTTGAAAGAATATGCAACCGCAAATTTCAACTTCCTCCAATATCATCTGAAAAAGAACCAATCATAGTATATCCAGGAATGTCAATTTCGTTTCCTATGTTTGCTATTCATCGTGATCCTCAATATTTTGAAAATCCAGAAAAATTCGATCCAGAGAGATTTTTGAACGAGAAGAGAGTCAATGCAGCAACTTTTTTTCCATTTGGTGTAGGACCGCGAATTTGTATCGGAAATCGTTTTGCTCTAATGGAGATTAAAATTGTGTTATTTCATCTTTTGGCATGTTTAAATTTTAAACCTTGTTGCAAAACATCTGTACCAATAATGTTTAAAAAAAATTGTTTTCTTTTATTACCTCAAGGTGGGTTTTGGTTGAAGATTGAGGAAAGGAACTCGAAGGAATAGTTTTTTGTAATAACTAAAAAAAATTTTGATAAACAATTTAAAAAATTAATTTTTTAATTAAAAATTATATATTTATTGCTGACGACATTACAATCTTTTCCCGTTTCTATCATTGTAATATGTATTTATCACAATTTTTATAAAATTATCATCAATGAGTTCTTAAGGTTAACGATGATATTTTTAGGTTAAAGGTTAATTACTTATAAGACAAATAAACAAATGTAGTGCATTTGTTTTAATATCATTTTTAAGATTTGTTAATTAAACATTGCAAAAGTAAGCGAAATGTATAATTTTAGAATTAAAAATATTTAATTCATTAATCCGACGATATGAATTAATTAAGGGATGAAAAGCACTTCTCATTATAATACCTTTCAATAAAAGAAACCTTTTAAGTGATCATATGTAAATAAATATGTATACATATATAAAAAAATAAATAAATGATTTAATATTTTGAATTTCAATAATTTTATCATCAATTTTTTTACTGTTTATTTATAAAGATAAAATAAGGGTGAAATTGTCAAAAAATTAACTTAATAATTAACGTAAAGTATAATATATAAATATTGAAAATACGTGAGTTTCCGATTTACACTTGTGGATAAGGACCCTTGTGTAGCAACGGGGAAAGAACTTGGACTTGCGCTGTGCTGTTGCAATTGTGGTACGAGGGGGTTAGTGAGAGGGGTAAGTGCTTGCACCAGGGGTGTTAGTCACGGCCCATCTGCCCATCGCCCAACACGTAAGTTCGTATTTTTAATTCTATATTTCATTTTACTTGTCAAACACTCGTGCCACATTTTCAAGTGCCTTTCAATTTTCAATATTTTTCGGAGTGACATGCAACATGTTTTGCATAATTTTCAAAATTTTTATTTTTTTTTTCTTACTACCATCTGAAGAGCGCACAATGGATTTCTGTGATTCAAACCAAAAATGGCGGTTGCAGGGCGAAATTCTACAGAAATTGTAAATTTTGACAACTTTCTGCGTTTTCGAGTAAACTCGTTTTAGAGTAATTTTGAAAAAAAAATATAAAACTGAAATTGTTATAAGAGTGGTGAAAAATTATTAAGAAATTTTTTTAAATTATTACAATAACTAATTGTCATTCAAAAATTGGGAGAATTTTTTTCATGATTCAAAGTACAAACATTTTTTTGAAAATAAAGATATAAAAGTTAATTTTTTTTTTACATTAAAAGTTGTAAAAAAAATTCAACAGAAAAAATATAAATGAGATAATTTTTTTGTAAAATTTTTTTATTGCACTTTATTGAATATTTGTTTTCATTGCTTCTTTGAAACCGATCGAGAATCGCGTGCGTTACGGAAGGTCAGTCTCACTCTTCCTTTGAGAGCGAAAATATGTGGCACGTGCAACTCACGCTCAGTGATAAACAGAATATAAATGTGTTAGGATAATAATTTTCCATACGAAATGTAATAAAATATTTACCTAGAAAAGCGAAAATATTTATTGGAAAAGCTCTGTACTTTTTTTTAAAACTGCGAAATATAAATAAATAATCTAGTATGACTACTGTTTTTATTTTGTGGTAAATCTTTTAAATTAGAAGATTGGTACTTGAAAAAAAGTGGTAGATGTGTAAAAAAAAAAATTATTTTCCTTCCTATTAATTATATCGCACACCTTTATGTGTATACTCTGATAACAGGCAATTAATGTTTCTATTTAGCATCCAGTTTAATGTAATTTTTAATTTTTTAAAAATCAAAAATTATGATTCGTACATTAATTCCTACCTTTTATCTCTGAATTGAGAAACAACTTTTATAGCTGTAAATTTAAAATTACATTCCCTTCTTTTATGTTTCAAAAATTTAATTATAATTTAAGAAAAAGTAATAGATATAAATTTTTTAAAAAATAAAAAAATTTAATTTCAATTTCATTTATCAAAAAAAATAAATTTAAACTTATTATATAATTTACCTAAAAAAATGACCTTTTTTGAATTGGAACAAAATCTTATCCTTGACATGTATTTTAGATAACTCTCACTTAGTAAAAACAAAAAAAAAACCAGAATTTTTAAAGTTTAAGTAGAAAATTTGATTCTATTGTGTAATTTATGAAAAAATTTTTTACGAATTCAAGCACGTGACAAGGGCAACACTCTATGAGTGACAAGCAGTTCTTTTTCAGAAAAATGAATTGCACACCACTAATTCGTGATATAATGACTCGGTCAAGTGTCCTTTGCCATGTTAGGGTTTTCAAGTGTTTCCTCGAATATTAAGTAAAAGATTTCAAAAAAAGAAAAATGAAATAAAATTTTATATGAAAGAAAAAAAACCCAAACTTAAAAATTTTTAAAAATGTTTGAAAACAAAATGTCGAGCAACCTTTTTTGAAATTGAAACATTTGCAATATAAGAATTAAATTAAAGCCCCGTTTAAAAATGTTAACGCTGTAATAATTTGAAAACTTGGGGAAATTTCTATTAGAGTATTATAATGATACACGTAAGTCCGTAAGGTTTTTTGATATTCAAGACGTACATCTGGTAAAATTGAGCGAGATAATTGACCAGCCATAGAGCTGAATCTTTAATAAATGTATTCACTTTGCTTTTATACTTTTTAATTTTTTTCTTCATGCAATTTAAATGTATAAAAAAATTTAAGTAATCAAAAATGTCAATCTTTAAAGTTTATTTTGCATCGACTTTGTGAGAAAATCAAAACCTTTCATTCGGAAAAACTTTTTAAAGGATAACTGCACATACTTTCTGAATATTGTGTGCCCATTGAAATGTATATACATATATATATTTAAAAAGTTCAACTTGACACTTTTCTTAACAATTGCTCCAACTTTTTTTTATGCTAAAATCGAATCCTATCCAAAAATTCTCTTCCATCAAATAAGAGTTCATTTCCTGAGGGAAAATTTTGGTTTTGCATTGAGATGTAGAAATTTTTTTGATTATAATAAAATATTGACGATAGTGTGCGTAACCACATAACTGTAAGTCACTCTTGAATTGTATTTTCTTTGTGAAGACGGGCATTTTGAAAGTTTATTGTGTGCACTACTACTCGAATGTTTCTTTGTAACCCGCATTTGGCCCTGGTTCAACTTTACTCTCCGTTCGATGACGAATGCTATGAGCGAAAAATATCTTCGAGTCGTATTTCATCGAGTGGAATTCCCAATTTCTATAGAGACAATCCAAAAGTAGAGAAAAGCGATTCTGGATAAAATTATTAAGCCGTAAAAGGGAACTTTCTTCCTGATCATATATATATAAGAAACCTAAACTCTCACCATAATGAAAGAGGTCACAAATATCTTCCAATATATTTTTTTTTTACCAAAAATATTTGAGGGAAATAAATTTTTTTTCATCCTCATGAGTTTCTTTTGCATATTGTTTTGCAAAAATATTTTTTTCTAAATGAAAAATTAATTAAATTAAATTTACATTCAATAAACAACTATAAATGTATTTGCAAAGTTACCTTGACTTCATTTCTGTACTTTAACTACCAGATCTTCCTTTCGCACATAATTTCGCACAATCGATTTTTAAATAAACCTATTAAATCACCAATAACAGTAATATTTTCTTTTTTTTTTTGAAGAAAATTTGTGAGCAAAAATAGAAATTGGAAATAATGATAAATGAGTAAGTTTATTGTTATGTGGATATAATTTAAAGTAGGTTGCACCTGTTTTCGAGTTTCAGTGGTAATCCAGTAACGCTTGCAAATTCCTGTCATTTGGAAGAGGGTTCTTTAAGCGTGCGAATGAAATGAAACTTTGCAGACATAGATTTGCTGCACAATGTACTTGTGTGCATTTTGACGAGCTCACGTTGTTGTTTATACAATGACGAGACATACGAGAAATTGAGTACTCTGTTTCCTCGTACAGTTCAATATCTTAAGTAGGACATGGTATACTGGCACACACCCTAACCAATCCCATATGCAAACCGTATCAGCAAGTACATTAACCCTTGGATTTACATTTTTCCAACAAAAAAAAAAAAAAAAAATTATATCAACTTTCTTTGCGCTATTTATTTATAAGTTTATATTATAAACTTTCTTACAAACTCTTATAGTAACCTTCATATTTTATTGATGTTCTTGTTCTTTTGAATAGTTTCTATATAATTGTAAATTATAGAAATACTTAATGGATGAGGTAAAAATTGATTAGATAACTTTGAAAAATAATCTAAATACTTGGCACATATCTGTTGTAATTAGACGACCTTTAGGAAATGTACTGTTCGGAATGTAGATGGATATTTCTAAACTTATATATGTTTCCACCAGGATGTAATACAACTCCACATATCCTAGGATTAGCAACATGCCTGGCTCTGATCCAAACAACCTCCCTCTCATTCTTCCAAAAACCCATCAAATTCTGAGCCCTCTAGGCACTATAAATTACTCGACACTATGTTATCACTCGTGAAATTGTTTTATGCACAGTCTTTCTATAATATTAATTTGCTGATTATCCTAATAGGACATGAATTGAATCATCTTTTTAAGAATGAAAATCCTTTCAAAGATTAATAATTTTACATGAAAAATATCATTTGGAATTTTTAAGAAATAGGTCAATTAATTTTCAAAAACTAGATTGATTAACTTTTAAACTATATGTGATAATGACAGTGGTGATTTATGAATTTAGACGATTAAAGTTTATTGAAGAAGAAGAATAAGCAAAGGAGAAAACTAATTTTCTAACCATCAGAGTGTTCTAATTTGTCGAAACTTTAACAACGATTAGACTTAATGTGCGAAAAAAGTAGTAGCCGTTTGAAGCTCACTTGTTTTGATGTTTTAAAGCCTTTGGCAATGAAAACTTTCTCACTATTTTCAATGAATGGGAGAAAAAATCTTTCTCATACTGTTTCCAATCATGTCATTTTTTATATATTTTCTTAATAACTACTTTTAGAAATATTTTAGCTATTTTTATAGTGTACAGTAAAATTCTTATCAGGATAGAAAAGTCTAATTTGATAATGATGAAAATGTGATGGGGGAACAAAAATTGTTAACGTAAATTTTTGGGTATAGGAAAAGACAGTACTTAATCTTCTTTTCTGAAAGCCAAAGTCTGCAAATTTAAATCGAGTAGGAAGGAGTAGGATGAAGAATGTAGAACGGAGGATGGAGGAAGAAGTAGGTAAAAGAGGGCGCAACGTTGTGATCAATACTGTTTCTGATGAGTCTAACAAAGATAGAGAAATTCACGAAAGCGGGATTTTCAAAGTAGAACCATCTGTTCTTATAAAAATATTTCTTTGAATAACTTTACATCACTTTACTTTTAGTCAGATAAAAAGTTTTTCAAGTCTTTAAAATGAACAATTAAAGAACATTTTTCTTCATTATTTACTGTGATATTTAGTGTGAAAAGAGTGTTTACAGAGATAGTTTTAATGTTTGCTTATATGATGCGATGAAGAAGCGTTTAAAACCTAATTATATACCTTTAAAGAGAAGACAGGGTGTGAATATTGTCGGTTCGTTGAGTTTTACGGGAAACTTTGCTATGACCTAATAATTGCTTCATTTCAATTACATAAATATTTTAAATGGATTTATCAAAATTTATTTCTTATTTTGAACCAATTAATTGTTTTCATTTCAATTTTATCTTCCTTAGTATTTCTAAACTGATTTTTGATGTGGGATATAATACAGGAACAAAAATCAGTGTCATTCGAAAGTTCATTTCCGATTGCACCAGAAACAAGGTATCAGTAAATTTACACGATTGCTGTACGGACTGTTAACGAGGCAAACTCGTTATTTCCAATCGTTGACTCCAGAGGCATAAATGATCGCAAAAAGGACAAAGAGACTAGAAATAGAGAAGCAAATGGAATGTACTAAATGTGAGGGAAATATTTATTTTAATTTATATTTACACACGATCGAAATAATTGAAACTTTTTACACAAATCCAAAAAATTAGGAATTCCCCTTGAGTTTGTAGTTAGATCTCGTTATTGTGAAATTTAACTATATTAATTATATAGTGTCATATTCATTTAAGGAAAATGTCGAGTTTTAGGACTCCAAAAACTTTGCTAATCATGAACGTCCCGTCGCGTCGGCGTCATAGAAGCTCGCGTATAGATATACTATACAGAGAAATTAATCAGTAAAGTACTTCCGCAAAGGAAAATTAGTTTTCTACTAACATATCTTCCATTTACATATAAAATAAAATATTTAAATAATTCACGAAAAGTAGACTTATTAGATTAGATATAAAATTACAAAAATTAAACAATTTCTGTTTAACATGTTTTTGACAATTATTTGTTATGTTGAAACTGAATAGGTTATTTGGAAGTAAAACACGTATAAGATGAAAGATAGGAAATTGTAACAGATAAATTAAGACTTTATTGAACAATTATAATGTTAATTTGACAAACATAGAATTGATTTTAATGTAGATTCTTTACTGAATTCTTTAAGTGAGCCGTACAAATTTCAATACTATCCGCAGTACTATAATAGCACGACTGACAAAATCCTTCAATCCGGAATTGCACTCAGGTACCTCAAGTACCTAGTTTTCCCTTTCCACCTGAATTTTACTTAAAACCTTAAATATTTTTAAATATCGTTGTATCTCCAACATGTTATATTTTCAATTATAAATATTTTTTACATTTTTACAATTTCAGTTAATTTTTGAAATTTAATGATTTATGGAAAGTGTAGCTCGTTTTAAAAGGGTCTAAAAATTGTGTTCACAAGTGTGCATGTGAATATTAGTAGCAGGAGGCTCAATTTTATCAGCTAGTGCTTACCTCACGATGGTTGTTGGTGCGTGACAAGGGGCTGTTAACCTAAACAGCTTTCTGCGCCATTGCTACCTACTGACTCCATTTCTGTGCATGTCGTTGCAAAAGCCATAAGCTCTCATGACGATCTGATCCCTTATGCCATATAACTAACAACAATATGTGCAAATAAAATATATTGCAAAAACAGAACACGACCCAAATTTATTAATTTAAATAATATCTAATAATGAAAATTAAGTTGAAACAGAAAATTATTTGATCGTATTTTTCTCTATTGAATCTAATTTCAAGTGAAAACAAACAGTTAGCAACAATTTAGAATCAATGATTCATTTTACAATCAAGGAAACAGTTAAGTCTGTTTAATTCAACTTAAGTCTTTGGAAGTGCTTTATATATAAGCAAGTATCAATTTTTAAACTTCTTAGCTCTCTAGAAATCTTTAATTGCAGTTCGACTCGATGAATGTTGCAAGTTTCGAATTGCCGGTGGTATTTGGTTCTATATATATATTCACATACCTAGTTTCCTCTTGCGCGACTTGAACTGATAGTTTAATTCCACTTCCGTTCTCAAAAGGAGATCACATAAAATTAAGTCCGAATAGAAGTTCATTTTCAAAGAAGGGACTTCTTATAAGCTTCTTACAAAAATAAGAACATATTTCAAGTCATACTTTTTAATCTGATTAAATCCCGATTTACGAATGTTCTTTCAATATCATACCTTTTCTTACTCTTTTTAGTTTCTATAAAAAAAAATAATTGAAAATTCACTTATCATTAATTGCACTTGAGATAGTTTTCTAAATTACACTTGAAAGGAAGAAAAGAGTAAAAAGAAGCATGATGTCATAAAAGTACTCTAATATTTTTTTTAATAATAAAAAAAATAATAATTAAAATTAAATATTTAAAAATCTTTATTAATAATTGCCGATAATTGGTTTTCAGTGAAATTTTTCTAACATGGAACTTTGTACCTTCAATTAAGTAGATCGAATTATCACTTTGGAATTAAATTAAACTCTATCAGTTGTGGTTTTATGCGCCTCATTATTACGAGACATAGCAAAGTTTGGAATTGAACGAGAAAATTTTGATGGAATGAAAACAGGTCGAGTGCAATTTCATCTCGATTAAATGGAAATTCACTTTTTAATAACGCTGAATTATTGTCTAAAAAGAAGAAAAAAAATTGCTCTGCCATCTATATCTCTTTTTTTTTGTTTCTCAAATTAAGGAATTCTTTATAAAGATCCTATTAAAAATGTTATACCACCTTTCATTATAATTAATATTTATTGAGATAAAAGAACAAGTGTAAAAAATAGTTGTAACATGATCGCTTATAAGAAAAAATTAATTTTATAAAAAATATATTCATTTACGTTTTTCTTTTTAACTTTTTCTATTTTTCAATATAATTGAAATAAAAAGTTGATGGGAATTATTAATCAAAGAGAATTATATTTATTTTATCATTTCTTTCATTCACATTTTTCAAGGAGACATAAAGTTGCTTTTAAAAGTTTTGCAATTAAACATGAAGGTAGTTCGGTTTAGGGAATAATTTTCATGCAACAAAGCTCTGCACTTACTGCTTAAAACCTCTACTCGCTAATCCATGAATATTTATCTATATATTATCGCAGACACTTAACTTTACTTTATTTCTCTGTTTTCTCCAGTATATAAAAGTTTCATTTTCTTTAAAAGGATATGTAAATTAAATTTTTTTTAAATCACAATTATTTAATAACCAGAAAAATTAACTTATTTTATATTGGCGTATTTTTATTTTTTGTTATTTCTATACTGGATTCCGGTAATTTTTCTATTCTTTATTTGTGTTTGCTTAGCATTTTGAGTTGCAATTTAAATTTTCCATTCATCATTCATTTTGACTAAAAAAAAAAAGTCAGTCTCCATTGAATGGATGCGATATAACGATACCATAGAAACTTGTACAGATAAGCGTCAAAGTTTTTTCAGCTATATTTTTTTGTCCCAAATTGAACTCAACTTGATCAGGGCATTGCAGTCTAATCAAAACTTTTCACTGAACCATTTTTATTTTTCATAAAAAAAAAATGATAATATATTCTCAATAGATTGCGCAACTCTCATATAACTTTTTTCAAATAATGAGAAGTAAATTTTTCTTATAATTTTTTTTCAAAATTCTTTACAAGTAAAGTTATTTTAACTCAGATAGAGAAAGAGATATTTTTGAACCAAATATGATTTAAATTTATTTTAGGTTTTAATCAAGTATTTTCATATATTAAAATTATCTTTATTTATATTTAAATTAGAATATCTTTTTTCTTTTTTTTTTTATAAAAATACGATTGCTTATAAAAAAAATTTAATTGGCTGATTTGAATTTCAATATAAAAGTAGAATTTTTATGAAATAGATTTTTACTTTTCTTACAATTGAAGGGATATGCTGTGATTTGGACTCCAGCCAGTCGCGAATTTCTTTTGTCTATAAATCATTTTCAAGCTACAAGAAAAAAGTGTTATATTTTATTAAACAAGTAATATTCGCCTTTTTCCACTTGATCGAGTTAAATCTTGTATTTAAAATCTGTTCATGTTTTACTTTTTGCATAAAACAAATTCTCAATTGAAAAGAAAATATATTAAACAAAAAAAAAAAAGAAAATATATTGCCTGGAATCAGAGTAATAATAAGATAAGAAAAAAATCGTAAACAAAATGCATTTTTATTATAGATCCATGGCCATATCCCAATAGTCGTCAATTACACAGACCATCATGAAGACTCAGCCACAGAAATTTCATTCTCCTGCAGTGTAGCCGATGCAATAAAGTAGTCAATAATAATACCAATTGAATAGTATGTGGGTTATCCGAATAATATCTCTGGAGTGACAAATGCATCAAGTGGACGAAATAAAATCATCAAATATAGAGCAGACGAGAGATAGATTCAATAAAACTAAATTTCACAGTAATTATTGTAAATCAGTAAGGATAAATCGGTAATCCATATAAACGATCATACTGTCAATTCAAGGATGAATTTAGTTAGTCAATCCAATATAGTAACCCCTGGCTGTGTCATTCTCAAACATAATCGATAGTGTTCAAATTTTTCTCGTAAAATTAGTGACCGAGTGATAATAGAGTTTAGCTAAAAAAAAAAACTCTTCTTCCTATTCCCGCGAATTTCTACAGAAAATATACTTTTAATAACAATATAAAATTAGATTCAAGGCTAAGAAATATTAGTTCATAATTCAAGTTATCAATCGGACAGCGAAAAATTGATACCAATTATCGTTTTTTGTTATTGTTGTCGTTGTTGCTGTTAATCCGGAAGTGTTACGGACTTAAAATCAAGATGGCTTTCGCAGCTGCTAGGATGATCCTTAAGGACAAAAGAAGGAAGCCAAGCAAAGAAGAATATACTCCTAGAAATAGAAGCAAGGTAAATTTTTAATATCTGACATTTTTTTCAAGGCAATAAATATAAAAAAAAATTTGACTCCTAAAATATTCTTCACTGCACAGCATAAAACCTGCATAAATATTGTTCATTAATTTAGGTAACTTTAAAATTATTATTCGTCAAATATATTTAAGTATTTTATGCAAATATTAAAGTATACGTAATTATGAAGAAAAAATATTGCAATTATTTGCGTGTGAACCTAATGTAAAACAATTAAAATATAACTGCAGAAAATACAGTCTTTTTATATACCAAACCAAACATCTTCTAATAACATTAGAGGCATTTCATATGAGAATACGGGGTCATGTCTCCGATTTTTCTTAAAATTCGGTAAATTATAGTGATAGTGATGCTAAATAAGTGTACAAATTTTGAATTTGAAATTTTTAATATTTTTTAAGATATTTACAATAACAAATTTGAGAAATATTTTTTTAATTTACTTATAACTTTTTTCCTACTTAAAATAGAGAAAAATGTTGTAATTGATTTTTACGCAGAAGACCATAAACTTTTAGAAAAAAATTATTTTTTAAAAAAATATTAATTTTTAAACAATTTGTTTAAAAAATAAAATTTGTTTATAACTTTTAAACATGTTCTTCCTCATTTAGATGCGCGAAAAAAATCATGAATATAGTTTAAGTCATACTAAGTCGATGGTTAAATTTTTAAGATGTCATTATTTTTTGTTTTCGAGATATTAATTAATTAACTAACAAAAGTTAATAAAAAATGAAATATTTTACGAATAAATAAAATTAGAGTAATTTTAAAAACACCATTAGAATGCTTATCACAATCTGCATCCAACGAGCCGTATATGAACTATTTCTGATAAACGGGTGTTAAATTAATAATTAATAATTAAAATTATTTAAATAATTAATTCATTAATTAATAACATTTGAGAAAATGAAGATTAACCGTCAGTTCTTTTTTTGTTTGGAAGATCATCTAATTCTGTGTTAAATAAAACCAGTGTAAATAGCATTTTTAACAAATCTTAATTATTAACAGATAATTATTGGAAATCGTTTCAGTACCCCACGACACAAGTTGGACGAGGCTGCTTATGTACTCGGCATGGTATTTTGCAGTCTTTGTCTAAATAAAATTTTATTATTAATTTTTGATTCCTGGTAATACTTAATATTCTTATTTTGACACAGAATTAGATGATCTTCCAAACAAAAAAAGAATTGACGGTTTATCTTCATTTTCTCAAATGTTATTAATTAATTAATTATTTAAATAATTTTAATTATTAATTATTAATTTAACACCCGCTTATCAGAAATAGTTCATATATAGGGCTCGTTGGATACGAATTTTGATAAGCATTCTAATGGTGTTTTTAAGATTACTCTAATTTTATTTGTTCGTAAAATATTTCATTTTTATTAACTTTTGTTAGTTAATTAATTAATATCTCGAAAACAAAAAATAATGCCACCTCAAAAATTTAACCATCGATTTATTATGACTTAAACAATATTCATGATTTTTTTCGCGCTTCTAAATGAGGGAGAACATGTTTAAAAGTTATAAACTAATTTTATTTTTTTAACAAATTATTTAAAAATTAATAGGTATTTTCTAAAAAAATAAATTTTTTCTAAAAGTTTAAGGTCTTCTGCGTGAAAAACATTTACAATATTTTTCTCTATTTTTAGTAAGAAAAAAGTTATAAGTAACTTAAAGAAATATTGCTCAAATTTGTTATTGTAAATATCTCAAAAAATATTAAAAATTTCAAATTCAAAATTTGTACACTTATTTAGCACCACTATCACTATAATTTATCGAATTTTAAGAAAAATCCAAGACATGACTCCGTATTCTCATATGAAATGCCTCATTAATACTCGACTTTGATCCGCAAAATTACTAAAACCACATAACACAATTTATCCATTTTTTTTTTATTCCAAATGTAAAAAATGACATTTTTGGTAAAAGACAATTTAACAGAAATTGAACAACGAAAAAAATGTTATATATCAAAGGTAGCTGATAATAATTAATGAAATCCCTGATTTTATGCATGAAAAGTTCTTCTTCTTTATACAATTTCATGCTATTATACGCTGTCTGCACGAAAATAGATTTACGCCTCAAAAAATCTATATCAAACACGAATTGGACGTATTTTGTACTTTAGCGTTATCATGCATTTTATGACAAGATTTTACTACTTTTGCAAAACAAAACACTGAAAACATTCATGACTTTGTAAAGTTTTACAATGTCGAGAAATTTTTTATAAAAAAAAATTTTATCGCTTTCATATTAAAAAATGAAAAATTCATATACAAATGTATACAGTAAAAAGAAAGTGTTATATTAATATTCTTTATAAAACTTTATGCAATGACTGTACTCGAAACTTGAATATTAAGGTCTCTGGCAAATATCATCTTCTTATCTCATAAGATAGTCGAGTTTTGTCATCGATATAGTCTTCTCAAGATTTGCAAATGACTTTCCATATGCCTTATTTATGAACTGATATGCCACTTTATTATGAAAAAAATACTTTTCTTTGTAAAAATTATAAAAAATTTTTTGTAGTAATTATTGTTCTAAATATTATCCTATTTGGATTTTTTACAAAATACATATCATTTTTAAAAAATCATGTCTGACTAAAATTCCCTTGTACTACTGAAAATTACAAGTATATTAAAAATGCTGCCTGACTATTTGCTCTGTCTGACTTAAACTTTTTTATATTACTGAAACATAAAATTACAAAAATAAATCGTCCTTTGTAAATTTATATTCCGGTACTATTAATTTATTAAATAGTAATAATAAAAATATATAATAAAGGAATGTGTACTCCATATTTGATTGTGAAATCTGATAACTTGAAATTCGTGTGGACAGCGTTAATGTGATTGATCACGTGTATTTCATTTGATTACGAAATAATTACTGTGTCCATTATTGTACCAGATTTCCTGCTCTTAAATTGATTACCTTTTAATTAATGATTCAATTGAAACGACATTCTATTGTCATAAATGTTAGAACACAGAATGTTGTAATTTAATTTTGGGTATTTTATTTTTTAACAAGACTATTTTATTTCATAAAAATGGAATGATATAGTTAAAGAAAATCATTAGTAAGTTATATACTATTAACATTATGGACTTAAAAATTCTTAAGTATAAACAACCTATAAGAAACTTGTAAAACAATGATTCTATCTAAGAATTGACGTGAGTTCGATGTCTATAGCACATTGTTCTATATTCACACGACATAAGGTTATATAAGAATTAATAATAATTATAGTCGAAACAATAAAAGTAGTTTGAATTAGTACAAAAATCGTTTACCAATAAAAAAAAATATAATTCTTATAGTAAAACATTAGTCGATAATTGATAGTTTTTACTAGAATCAATTATTCTACTTTCGAAATTGTGTGGCGATTGGTGTGTTTACAGGCTCGCAGTGCCAGTACAAGTAGCTTTAGAAGCCTAAGCCAGGTATATATATTCAAACTACAATATAGCTAGAGACATAGACCTAGCTATTTAATCAGAATATTTTGAGAATTATAATTAGATAGAGTTATTGCATTTTCAATATAGGCTTTAGAAACATATAGGAATATCATAAGCACAGTGTCCCTTTATATTTCAAATATTTTTCGATTATAGAAAAATTATAGAAATTTATTCGAGTATTATCAAATAGTTTTTAACAAGGGAGACTTTGCACATGTAATTACAGAAAGTTGTCCGAAACAATGCTTCAAACAAAATTTGATAGAATAGTCAGTTGTACAATTTTTGAATATAGTGTAGAAATTAAAATAAAAGAGCCTCCAATAATAAAGTATATTCAACACTTTTTTTTCTATTATAAGTAGGGGGCTGTAAATAAAAAATAAGTTTTGACCAATTGTTATAACAAATCCAAAAAATGCATGTTTCTTTAAAAATTTTAGGAATGTTGCATCATTTCTTTAAATAGGATAGATGATTGCATGATTAACAAAACAATACATTGGGTTTGTTTGTGATTTACCTTCTTCGCAGTCCTTTTGAGCAAGGCCATCGTCAATGAAAATTTATAGACCCTTAAAAATTTTATTACATATACACTGAGAAAAAAGGTTTGAGCTGACAACCAAATATTTCATTTAATATATGTGCAACTAAAATTTTTTGGTTGACACAACTAAACTTTAGTTGACATCAACCAAGGTTTGGTTGAGACTACCAAATTCTTTTTCATTTTCTTATTTAGTCGTCTGAAACAAACTTTGGTTGTTGTCAACTAAAGTTTAGTTGTGTCAACCAAAAAATTTTAGTTGCACATATATTGAATGAAATATTTGGTTGTCAGCTCAAACCTTTTTTCTCAGTGTATAATTACACAGCCCCACAAAAAAAAAAGTGTCAGATACTTTTGACCGGAATACCCTATCCCTATGTATTTTGATGCACTGAATACGAATCCGAATTCCGTTTTGCTCCATCACGTCAGGATTTTTTTCTAACCTCAAAAAACATGTCGGATTTTGAGAGATAGGCGATTTTTTAAAAAATTAATTTATTTACTTAAAACTTGGTATCTAGGGGTTTTTTGAGTCGCTAATTACGAATTTGACGTCAGATTTTCGAAATTAAATATGTCTGATTCAATATTAAGGAATTATTTTTAAAAAATTGTCAGATTATTACGAAATTTGGTATCTACAGGTCTTCTAAGTTGCTGACAAGTAACACTAGGGAAGAGCTGTACGCCGTTTTTTCTGAAACTTGGCAGTTTTGTAGTTTTTTGAAAACAATTTGACACGTATGTTTTGTTTTTCCCCAAAAGCAGATTTATGGGGGGGAACTACCGCTTGAATTTTTTTTGGTATAGGGGGACATTATTTTACGAAATTTTTTAAAAATTAATATGCAATAGTGTATCTGGGGGTTTTTTTGGGTCGCTGATTACGAATCTGATGTCAGTTTTCAAATATTGAAAATGGCGTATCTAATATGGGCGATAGAAGTCCATGTTGGATATGCCATTTTGAATTTTTGAAATCTGACATCAGATTCGTAATCTGCTACCCAAAAAACCCCTAGATACTAAGTTTGAAGTAAATCTTAAAAATTTTTCTAAATTCGTCCGCCATATTGGATCCGACATTTTGGATTTTAAAATCTAACTTCAGATTCGTAATCAGCGACACAAAAACCCCCATATACCAAGTTTGAAGTTAATACATCAATTTTTAAAAAAATCGCCTACTTCTCAAAATCCGACATGTTTTTTGAGTTTAGAAAAAAATCCTGACGTGATGGAGCAAAATGGACTTCGGATTCGTGTTCAGCGCGTCAAAATACATAGGGTTAGGGCATTCCGGTCAAAAGTATACGACACTTTTTTTTGTGGGGCTGTTAGACGAATTTTCATTTTTCGAATTAACATTTGTCAGAATTTCTTTTTTAAAACAATTTTTAATTAACCGAATTTTTATTTGATAGAATTCTTAAAATGCCGAATTTTCATTTGTCCGAAATTGCAAATGGCCGAAAAAACAATCGACACAAAGATTTCGGCGCGAATTTTAAAGTCCACCAATCACGATTTTTTTTTGACAACTTTTGATTGGTGGATTTTAAAAATCGCGCCTAAATCTTTCTGTCGATTATTTGTTCGGACATTTTCAATTTCGGACAAATAAAAATTCGATACATATAAGAATTCTGTTAAGTAAAAATTTGTTTAAAAAGTAATTCTGTCAAAAGTTAATTCGAAAAATAAAAATTCGTCTAAAAAATAATTATAAATAAAATTTCTTTGAAATTTTAAATTTTAACTAATGATTTTTATGGGATAATTAAGTTTTTTGAAAATTCAGTTTTTTAAAACTATTGAGGTAAAAATTAACAATATTCTTTGGAAAAAAAATAGGAATGAATTTACATAAGTCAAATAAAAACTGGATAATTATAATTAAAGGCAAAAATGAAATATTGCCTCATTTTTTTTCCAATTCTTATGAAAGTATATTTTAAATATGTTCAAGTTTTTCAATTAAAAGTCTTACTTATATATAATTATTTAAAGTCAAAATATACTCTCATATACCACACACATTATTAACATGATTTAATTGAAAACTAAACTTGAGTTTTATATAACTTTAAAAATATCTGTCAAAAAGTCAGAAATTATTCAATGCATGCATAATTATTTTCGCATTGGACCATAATATAATTCATTATGTTCTCTAGAATTTATGGGGACAGTACGATAATATGACGATGTATTTCACTTTAGTGGGATTTTCAGTTTATGTGGAAAATTGCTTAAGCTGCATATGAGTTAAGCACCGTAAATTCTCGGCATTAATGAGCTTTTGATGAATTTGTCGTCAATTTTAAATTTCAATATTTTTTTCCACATATTTGAAATAAAAATTAATTATTAAATATATTTATGAAAATTTTCATATTAGTTTAAAAAAAGATGTATAATAAAAGCAAACACTCGTGATTTCAGTTTTTAATAATTATTATTAGTTTTCCTTGAGTATAAGAAGTTTTTAATTTCTCATATTGAATTTTGTAAGAAGCAATGAAATTTTTATATATCAGGACTTGAAATTCTGGTCAGACTTTAGAGGACCTTTTGGAGGATAATTATACTTGAGAATACGGATAGTTGGTGGTCGTAAGTTGAGGTTGAGGTAGGAGATTGTGTTGGAAGTAACGGACGATCGATGACTCAGGTGCATTTTAGTCGTTGTGGTCGATGAGGTGGTTACTTTCATTATTAATTTCACTCAACTTCTTAACTTTAAGTACACTGACACGAGAAATACAATTTTCTTTCATTTCTCAAGAGATCAATCTTTCTTTAATAAGCATATTTTTACATAAATTTTCCCATGAGATGAAAAAATTAGTCTAAGTATTCTTCTGATATATAATTTCTTTGTAATATATTTTCAAAAACGCCAGGTTCATAAGTTTTGTTTGTTTTAATTAAAACAAGAAAGTAAAATACTTGAGCTAATAAATAGGTTCATTTTTTTTTTAATTCTCTCACCTCGTTTAATTTCTAGACGCGAAAAAATAGAGAATATTTTTTACAAGCGCCAAGGAATATGTATTTTAGAATTAGGACACATAAATCAACGTCTAAGTAGATGTTGAGAATGTGATATCAATAAAAAAAATCTGACATGAAAAGGAAATATGTAAGAGTAAAGAAATCACGCATTTTAATGATTGATTGTGTAAAAGGCAGGCAGTTATAATAAAAAAAAGGAAAATTTACAATTCCTCATATACAATATGAAAAATTTAATTAATATTATGACCGCATTTCTTTTACAAAAACATTCCGAGTAGTTCTTTCGTCTTTCAATTTCACAAAGAGAAGAAATATATACAAAAAGGAAAAAAAAAAACATTGGTACTGAAGCAAAACTATTTCCCGGGCACAAATGCGATACTTTGCTGACGCTTACCATTCACGGAATCAGGTCACAACTTTGATTCTTGTTTTGAATTAGCAAAATGAAATATTTCTCGAGAGGTTTTTGCATTGAAATTTTTAACATTTTTTTGCAAATGCAATTTTTAAAAACTTGTGTTGCAGTCAAAAAATATCTAGTTGAAAATAATAATGTATATTTTCAACTTGTTTACAACGCATTCTTTTGAATTCAAAGTCCTTCGTGGATTCTCTACTCCTTTTCTCTTTTGAGAGTGTTATAAATTTTCAAGGTTGGTTGCAGACCCTTCCTTATTGATCTCACAGTTGCAGATTTCTGGTAAGCGAAGCCACTCTGCGCTTAAGCTGACAAGTTGAGAAAAGAATTGTTAAAAACTAAATTTTTTAAACTTTTTTTTTGATTTAAAGTTATTTATAATTAATATGAAAAAAACAAAACTGTAACCCAATCGATTTGATATATTATTTACACTAATCCCAACATATGTGGTTGTAGAATATCCTATTATTGTAATAAATACAATATAATGTGCGATAATACTCAGTACTGATTGGTTGAATAATAGATGAATCTCCACAGTTTAATGATGAAAATAATGGACCTCTATTATTGGCTACATTATAAATATATATTAATAAACAAGTAATAATGATTTATAACTACATATGATTAATAATAAAATTTATATATTTCAAAAATACCAAATAAATTGCTAGTTAGTAAAAAAATAAATAAAAAAAATGTAAATTAAAAATTTAATTTGAAAATTTTTATGTTTAATATCTGAGGAAGTAAAAAAGTAAGAAGAGAAATTAAAATTTACGTTTTATAAAAGCAAGTCTAAATTGAATGTAAATAAATAACGAAACATCAAAACGAATCTAAATAGAACGCAAATAACTGAAAAAGTTGTTGCTCATTAAAGGATACTCAGTTTTGTAATTTGAAATAAGGAGAGAGAGAGTTGCACGATGCTTACCCTCTATACGTCCAGCCCAATGAATATTTAACTGTGGTTCGTTGAAAGCTCGACCACTCTTTACCACATTTACATGAGCACGACAGCGTTCATGGGCCAGTAAAATTCAACAAAGAGACAAAAATTAAAAATCAGTTTACAATTTAAGTAGAAGAAAAAATTACTCTATTTCTCAAAAAAGAGAATCAGATTTTTTTTTTAATTACAAAATCATTGATATTAAATGTAATATTACAGTATTTTATTATTTAATGAGTATATATATCAAATATACTAGAAAATTTTAAATGCACTCCACATAATTAGTAATTAAGGTATAATATATCTAGAGCTTTGATGAAGCACATCTGCAAAGCTGCTTAGAATTGAATTCATTTTCAAATTCAAACAACATATTCGCGGAAGTGATTTATCTACAATAGAGATTAAATCTCTAACAATAAAGCAAAATGCAAATAAGCATGCAGTAGACATACTTAACTGAAGGGACGTTTATAAGTATGTATACATATACCTCGAGTGCATTCTTGAGGCAATAATTTCGAGTCCTTAATAAAAAAAAACAAATACAATTTCAGAATCCAAAAACAAAAAAGTTTATTTTACAAGGTAATAATGAATTATCAATTTTTGATAACATTTAATTATAATACATACATGAATAAGACTTGAATTATTTTTATTATTATTATTATTATTATTAATATTACTATTATTATTATTATAAATAAGGAATTTTTGATGGTCTAATTTTATTAAGTGTAACCAACAGTCAACATATAAATATAATTGTAACAATGCGATGAGAGATCATATAAATTTAACTCTTCTTTATCCATGTTTTGATGGGTTTTAATCGCCAGTCATCATCTCCATGAATTCTAAAAAATATTAACACAAAATAGAAATTAACAACTACTAATTATTATATTTATTAAGGATTTTTTTTTTAATTTCTTAAATTTTTTTTAAGATTTTATTTAATTAATTACTTATTGAAGATAAATTTATAAAAAATAGTTAAAAACAAAAACAAGTGAACTCATTCTCTACAGGAAAATCACTATAATTTTGAGGGCAACTGGGTGACCACACCGAGGAAAAGCAAAGTAATAAATTTCACAAAATGGTTTTACTGATGCTCGTGGTATCTAAATCTGAAATTATAACTCGGGATTAAATCCAAATTCAGATTCAAAATTTCAAATTGTATATTCCAAAAAAATAAAATATATATATTTTTAATGAAAAATATTTATAGAAATTAAATAAACTTTGAATTTAGTAATTTTATATCAATAATTAAAAAATTACTTTTAGTTAATCGATGGCAGTAAACGTAATTTATATAGAAGCTTGTGAAATTAATAGATTCTATAATTACACGCTCTACAAAACAAGTGCTTGGTTCCTCTCCTCTGCCTTCTCGAAGAATTAAGAGTGTCTCGACATTATTTTTGTTTTTTAAAGAAGCTTGGAAAAACCAATTTTAAAACGTCAGGAGATTGAGTGATTTTATCACGGCTTTCAGAGACATATATAGTCACAAGTAATCTTTATAGGATTATATATAGAAAAAAAAAGAAAAAATTTAACTTCAAAGAACTTTGCTTTTTCCAAACTTTTAATTTTATTAATTTTTAATCATAACAATAAATAAAATAAAAATATTTTACCATCAAAATCTACTGTGCCTGATCCATCAGTATCAATTTCGGCAATCATGCCATCCATTTGATCAGGAGTGATTTGATCATCAAGAGCAGCCAAAATTTCACGAAGAGAACTAGTGGGTATATAACCATTTCCTTCTTTATCATACAATCTAAAGGCTTCTTTTAATTCTTTTTGTAAAGCCTCATCGTCCTCTTCTTGAAAATGACAGGCTACTTTATAGAACGAGTCAAAGTTCAGCTTTCCACTGTCTTCAAAAAAAAAAAACATATATATATATATTAAAAAATCAATAATACAATTTTTGAAGAAATTTGAATTCCAAAAAAAGTAAAGTTAATGAATCGATTTTATATACAGATTGCGTGTTTGTATATATTCAATAGACTTTAGTGTATAAACTAGACCGGAGATTAATTTCAAATCAAGTATACTATAAGCTATTGAGTGCCTTTGATAGTGATGACGTGATCTACATAATAATGCTGGTCTTATAAGCATTGATGATCATGGTCCTGAATCCGGAAAGTACATCAAAGTAGATTAGAAATCAGATCCACTATTTCGCATAGAAAATTGACATTGACAGTTATTCTAATAATGCTTTCCCATATACGAATGACTCTTCAAAATTGTAGAGAAACGTAAATATTTTTAAAAATCGAGTTTTATTTTTTAGAAAAGTATTTTTTTTTATAATTTACAAAAAAAGACAAATAAAAATTGAACACCCTGTGTGTATGTTACACAGAAGATTAAATTGGAGCTATTTTGTTTCCAAGCAACGTACATTCTAGTTGCAGTCTACCGTAACGGATTGTCCCTCGCGTATTAAAGGGTTTTAGTATCCATGATTTTATTTCCTATACTGTGAAATTCTCTACCATACACTCGTATCCTTAAACAGCTTTATTACCATGAGAATTTAAAAACAGTAATGTTACATTTACGATGATAAATGTTAAATTCATATTTTTAAAAAATATATATATTTTCCCAATATCGATTTAAGTTTCATTTTGTAAATCGAAATCTTACTTTTGTATAAAAGATAAAAAAGCAGAGCTTTATGTGGGTCGACCTAATTTATTCTTCGATAAACTCACCAGTCCGATTCGACGAAAGATATCTTTCGGGAATCGAGATTTGTAGACTTGGCTATTTTTTAGAACTGGCTTTTAAGGGATTTGTATCGTCTCTCTTGGATTTTATTTCCGATATTATGTAATATATTTTTTTTCAAGTAAATAATCATTTCTATTGCATAAAATAATGTCTAATAATATTAGATATATTTGTAAATACCTTCTTCATCCTCCTGTTTTAAAAGAGATTCCAATTCATGATCATCGAATGTATGTCCTAGAGTATTGAGAATCGTTCTAACTTTTTCCTTTTCGATTTTGCCTGTCTTTTGCGAGTCGAACATGGAGAACGCTCTCCTCAGCACTGAAAATAGGGCATGTTAATCATTTCTCTATAATTGGTTATTTTAACCAAAAGATAGAGATGCCAATTTTCGTTAGTGTAAATCAAATTAGGAAATGGAGAAATTAGAGATAATTTAGGTCATAAATTGCAAGTTCGTAAATTATTAAATTTAAACTGATCAAGATGACTAGTTACTGATTAAAGCATTAAGGGTGTTAATTTGCAGAAATTCATTTCATATTTTCTGTTAATTCATTATCATACCAATTTTACATATGTTTAATTTATTATTTATATGAGATAAAATTAAAATTATTATCTTAAGTAAATAAAAACTGCTTTTGAATTTAAATTAACAGATATTGAGCTTTGAGTGCAATCTCAGTTCATTTCATGCAGACTATTTTATTGAACTTGTCTCCTGTTAAAATTTCAATTCAGCAGAAACATTAAAAATTCAGTTGCTTCCAACGCTAGTTAAAGCTTTTATCCAAAAGAACATGCAATATATCAATTTCTTTTAATTAATGATTTATTATCTAGAAATTTTTATAATTAATATTTTACTCGTTACTACTAATAAATATTCAATTTTGTATTTTTCATATCTAGAATTTGTTTCTTAAACAATTTTTAAGAATTGAATTATATGGAGAATGGACATTTTTAAAGTGAATTTTAAATATTAAACGTGTGTTCAGCAGTTTCTAATACATAATGTATATATGAAATCCATCAGAAATTCTGTAACAGCAACTGCAGTCGCAGCAATATGTGAAGTCAAGCATTTATATGGAACTATTTCGCGATGTGTGTTACATAAACTAAACATGTAAAACGAGAATGCGACCCAAATCTCAAATCTATAGGAAGCAAATGGTGACGCAATTTCAATACGGTTATGTTTGTTGACACGATCGAATTTGTTAAATGATATTCCTATTTTGGTTCATTATTCTCGTAAAAGAAAGTTTCATTTCCCGAGTGTAGATTTTCAATTTACATTAAACTATTAACACAGTTCCAAAAGAGAGAAATTTTAATTTTTCAAATGAATAAAAAAACCTAATCTAGACTTTCTATTTTCTAAACTATACTGAAAAAAAAATTTATTTGGTTCAAATACTCGATTACTTGACTATTATCAAATAAATATTTATTTCTATCAAATAATTATTTGAGACAATTAAATGGTATTTGTTTCAAATACAGAAATTATTGGTTCAAATACAATTTATTTAATTCAAATAAAAATCATTTGGTTCAAGTAAATATTTATTTGATAATAGTCAAGTAATCGAGTATTTGAGTCAAATAAATTTTTTTTTTCAATGTAGAATTTAAAAATTGTTTTAAAGAAAAGTTTTTCGATTCATGATAAGCCAGTTATAAATAAAAATCACACAGTCACCCATGCACGTATTAAAAAATATTCCTCCAGATGCACTGTCAGTTCATCGGCACTCACTTTGCACTTGTTCTTCATCCTAAAACACAATACAACTTTTTTATATAAATTGAAATGTATTAAGTTATTTAAAAAAATACAATTATTTGAATTATATTAATTATTTTATTATGTATTTGAAAAAGAAAATTATTAAAATATAATACACTTTAACATTCTCAAAATTGATTTGTTTTAAAAATATATCGAAATGTAATTTAGATATTTTTACACAGATTTATTAGCAAATTATTAATGACACACACTGCCTTTAAATCAAAAGAATCACTAACCATTATTATTATTCGGGGTGGCGCCTAACTTTGAATGTCTCACACTAAACCGCTTTTGAAACGAGGATAACTTTTATAACCACAGCGAAAATATTCCCATCCCTACCATCTCATACGTTACAGAAATGTCGGCTATAATGCTACAGCTTCGTGAAAATTTTAACCAATGGCAAAGTGTTTGATTCATTCTTCTTTTATTCTTTTTTTGTAATTCTTTCTATAACAAACAAAAGATATATACAAACTTGAATTTTAAATTAAATATTGTTTATCATTGAAAAAAAAATGCAAATAAAATAAATAATAATCAGTTTTAGTTATAGTAAATTAAAATTAATTCAAATTTTTCTTAATCATTTATTTTTACACCCAATTTTCTTCTATCGAATACTGATGATATATATTCTTGGCAAGAGCATATTTAGTAAAACTTCAAATAGCTCAACAAATAAAAATAAATTTCTTATCCAATTGACACGTGCGAATGTGTACGTATTTATATAAATAAACGATCAAGAATTTTAGAACATCGTTCAAGTTATTCGTGAAAATTCCTTGTATTGGATTCCTTTAAGATGAATCACTTCCCGTATTTTACTGAACATTAAATTCTTACGAGATTCTTTATTGCTAATGGGATATAATAAAAATTAAATCAATGACAAATTTTTGTACAAATATCTAGTTTTTTCCCTCCAGTAGATTTCAGTAATCTTTATGCAATTATTTCAAATTAATCTAATTTATAATGAATATCATATATTTTTTTCCTTTTTACTAATTAAATTTAGTAATATAAATGTTATTTTAATGAAATTGTTACTATATTGAAATTTTTTTAACGAGCTGCTCGATTTCATAGGACAATATTATATATGTATATAAAACGATGTTCAAATATGGACATAACGAACACATTTTTCGTATTCGTTAATTTCTCGATTGAATCACTCGACATGCATCACTAATCTTTTTTTTCAATTAAATCAGTTGACGATTTGAAGAATTAATTGCAAAATTGGGTAAAGATCAGTAAAATTGATTTATTTGAAAAATATAAAAAAAATTTTCTGAATATATAATTAAAAAAAAAAAAAAAAAAGTCCCCTTCGGTGACCTACACTTTGCTTATGTAACTAATATTATGCTTACAAGTTTTTAAAAAGAATTTCAACGACGGATGCGTCGGATTCGTACGCACACCAGTCGTGAATAAGAAGTGGGGGAGGCAGCTATTTCAAAACCTTCCAGGCTATGATACTGCTGCTTTCCATGTCACACAGTATAGATATAGATATATATACATATTCAAAATTCTTTTTCCCCACTGGGTCAAGAAGCTGTCGCAAGATTCAATTTTTTAGTAAACCTACTATTTTTTTCTAAAACTAAATATTAAGTTTAATTTTTTTGCATTCTCAGTAAATATTTATTGAGAGAAATTGAAACGGATTTTGAATGAAATTTTCAATTGTTAACAAAGGATAACAGAAAAGCTAAATACAATAATTTGGCAAAGATCCCAACCAGCTGGGTAACCACTTAAGTGTGGTACGTGCTTATATCAGATTATGCGGGGAGCTCTTAAATGGCATTTCATTAAGAACTTTTTCAGTCCTTTTTAATTTTTAATTCGTTCATTCTGGCGTAGGGCTTTTAAAAGTCTCTTCTCTATGAAAAATTATTCATATCCTGCGTTTCATTTGTAAACAATTTTCCTATATATAAAAATAAAGTGGCGCAAATAAATTGAATGCGAATTTTATTATAAAGAAAAGCGTAAACATAATTTATTAAATAAATATAACAGACAAATGGGAGTTTGAGTAGAAATTTCACCTCTCTTGCGGCATCTTTTGCTCCTTTATGCTGTAGCCCTTGTTATCCTTCCTGCAGCCTTTGGCGATCCTGTGGGAAATGAGAAATTCAAAATTCCACGACCTCAATTTTCCGCTATTTTATTTGTGCGCCAGCAACTTCTGGGATGAGGCTTTGATTGCAAAAAGAATTAAGGGCAGCTCTGCTCCATTATTAAATTTATAATTATTTATGTAGTGCTGAAAAAGAAATTTTAATTTAATTTACATTTAATGTCCATAATTATTTTATCTCGTTTTTATTAAAAAATGCATTGAATTATCAATTTTTTTGTTAGAGAAACACTTAACATAATTGGATATAAATCAGCATTTTTTGTCCAATTGGTTGCAATACGTGGTTAAGGGGTAAACATGCCAACGAATCTCTAGAGAATCTTAACTGGTCGAACAATATATTGTACTCCCAGGGGAAACATGGTTGTGATTCTCCATTTTGTACAACCTGAAATCCCAGAAATGAGAGTTAAATTATGTCTGAACTTTAACTTTCGTAATTAACGATTTTTTACTCCGCGACAAAAGACCCACAACACTAGTATATAACTTATTAAAAAGTAGTTTAAATTTAACACCATTAACGAATAATTGAATAAATTTTTTAACAATTTAAATATATTAATAAATTTTCATTTTCAATCATATGATTTATATTTTTAATTTCTTTAGGTTTTTAATTATACACCCAGAGAAGATTTCTTTAACTTAAAGAAACCAATTGACTTGTTTTCTTTTATTCAAAATAAAAATTTTTTTGAAATAAAAGAAACTTCTTAGTTCAAATTTCTTTCATTCAAAGAAAATTTCTTTGAATCAAAGAAATTCTAACATCCGAAAAAAAAGTATTCTAAAATTTAGTGTATATACTTGGCACCTATTTTAGAATATTTTATACTAATTTCAGTATGTAATATTCTTAAAATTAGAATATATTCTTAGTATTTAGTATATATATGCTTAGCATTTAGAATATATACTAAGTGAATTTAAGTATAATGTATTCTAAAATAGATGTCAAGCATATATTCTAAATTTCAGAATGTTTTTTTTGTTAGGGTCAAAGAAACATTTATTTAAATTAAATAAAAAATTTCTTTGAAACGAAGATAATTTTTTTTGAATCAAAGATATTTTGTTTGAAACAAATAAATTATGAGCCAAAAGTTTTGAACGTTCATATGAACGAAATTTTTTTTGCAACTTCTTTAAGGAGGTTCATCCCAAAATCGATTTTCTACAGATTTTTTAAAAATTTTTAAGATGTATTATTGACATCATTTTACATGTGTTGTTCAAATTTTATTGAATTTTACCGTATCATTTTCAAGATAAAAATTGATAAAGTTTGAAGTTTTACATGGGAACAGTGAAAAAACATGAAAAATGACCATATTTTCATTAATTAAAAAAAACGGTTCTACAGATTTTTTTAAAAAACTAATATGTTTTAAATTATGAGTTTTAACAGTTTTTACAAAAATATGAAATTTTTTTACCGTTTGATTGTGAAGTAAATGTTAATCAAAATTAGCAACTTTTGAACTTATCCCATGTAAATAAAAGAAAGAAGAGGAGAAACGGCAACATAACCTCTAAATTGGCCAGTGGAGCTCAACTTTTATGGACTATAGCTGTCGGTTTTAAACTTACGGAAAACCCCTAATAGAATGAGTACCGCTTGAAGGGATGAACCTCCTTAAGTACAAATTTTATTACAAAATATTGTTTAAAATATCTAAAAAAATGTTATTAATTTAATAATTGTTTAATTTACTATTTTATTTTACATGGGCATCATAATTTTTAATAATTTATAGATTGAAAAAAATATTTCGTTCATATGAATGTTTAAAACTTTCGGCTCATAATAAATTTTCTTTGTATCAAAGTATAAAATTTGTCAAAAAAATGGATTTCTTTGAATCAAAGAAATCTTTTTTCTGGGTGTACAGGGTGTTTAAAAAGTATATGGAAACTTACAAATATCTCGAAAAATACTCATTTTCGTGAAAAAAATATTCCACACAAAAATTGTCCTAGGACCTAACAGTGAAAAAAAAATTATCACGAAAATGCGTACTTTTCGAGATATTTGCAAGTTTATAATCAATTATAATCTTCTTTTATTAATAAGAAAACCTATGTATATATCTAAAATAAAAAAGATCGCAATTATAAAATAGAATATGGATGTATATAAACTTAGATAAATATTATAATGGCTTTTAAATTTAGATAAAATTATGTAATTTCCGGTTTTGAGAGAATAATAATAGTTTCATAGAAGATAGGTGTGCGAGCAATACTATATACCTATAATTATCACGTCGCTTCACTCACTGTAACTGAGTCGCCAATGTCTATCTAAATTATTATTCCAATAAAGATTGAATATTTATAGAATAATTTACGTCAGTTTTACATGTCTGGTTTTTGATTGATACAAAATTATCCCAGCAAACACTGTTATATATCTGTTCTAGAACTGTTACAAATTTCTTGAGAACATGTTCTGTAACTGGTTAAGAACGTGTGAGTCACTGGTTACGCAAAACGTCGTACTCAGCAGGTATGTTCAGATATGTAACAAATCTAGAACGCGGTTACAAAGTCATTTGTAACAGTTCTAGAACTGTGTTGTAACAACTATGAAAAGTGGTATGTAACCAGTAAGGAACAGAGTTCTGTATTTGTTACATAACTAAATTACGTAACAGGGATAAAAAAAATATTATGAGGCATTTTTTGTCAACGCGGACACCCCCCTCTCGCCCAAATTCTTTTCATTTTAAATTCATGTTTAATGGCTTAAATTTTAGTTAAAGGAATATACTTTTGAAATCTGAGTGGCATATTTCCAAATACAAAGGGCTAAAAAGGCCTCAAGCATTACTTTTTGGATTGTTCAAAATGAATTAGAGTAACTTTTTATTGGTAAATTTAAAGAATAACCTTTATATTGGATCCTATATTTTGTTTTTGGATATTTGCCACTCAGATTTCAAAAGTATATTCCTTTAACTAAAATTTAAGCCATTAAACATTAATTTAAAATGAAAAGAATTTGGGCGAGAGGGGTGTCCGCGTTGACAAAGAATGCCTCTATATATGTGTTACGTAAACGTATCACAGTGTAGGAACAAAAATCTATATTTGTGACATAACATTGTTTCAGTATGAATATGTATCATAGTTCTTTAAATGAGAAGAACACAGTAATGTAACAACGATCTAGTGTTGTTATACATGTTGTCCCGAAATTTCCAAGACATTTGGGTATTTTGTAACGATCTTATTTTTGAGAAAAAGAAACTTAAATGAAAGATTGTTCAGAATAACAAAATCAAATTGCACATTTTAACATATTTTGCTATTCTGAACAAATTTTTAAATTTTTTTGTCAAAAAGGCTATTATTACGAGATATCCAGACATCCCTAAAATTTTAGGACACCCTGTACTATTGTGGTGCATAATAAAGTTGTTATTAAGTTATATAATTTATATTTAACACATTCTTATGTCATTAAAAAATTAAATGTAAATGTTTATATCGAGTTAATTTGATTTGACTTTATATATTATTATTATTATATTATATACTTTATATATATTTAAGACAAAGGACAGCTATATAACATCGTTCCGACACAGTTCTAGAACTACGTTGGAACATCACTTGCAGATCATTTGTGACTGTCGTGTTATAGACATGTTACATAACATTGTTATAGAACTGTGACGTTATCATAATATAGAACAGTTCTGTCACTCTTTTGTAACAATGTTCTAGAATTCAATGATAATGAGGTTATATAACAGATTCGTAACCAACTTGTAACAACTGTTCTGTAAAACTGTGACATCACTGTTATAGAACATTTATAGAACGTGTTTGCTGGGATATTAAAGAAACTGTTTTTCTTGACACTGATTACATTATACACGTCAGTACATATAATATTCATTGAAATTTTCACAATTTTCTTATTTATAATCTTTTGCAGTTAAAAGTTGTATATGTGAATAAAAGGAATATATTTTTGTTTTTATTTTCTACACAAAAAAATTTCAAGTTACACAATTTTTTGCTCTTTTATAAAGTAAGTTAAATAAATTTTCCCTAATGGGACACGATAAATGTGTGTATAGCCTTTGAAAAACCGTTATATCTTCCACTAAAAAAATTTTAGCTCTCCCAAACGAAAAATTTCTATATTCAGTTAACTTCACTCATATAAAAACTCACGATAGATATTAAGTATGAAGTTAGAAATTTTTTTATTTTTTGGTGCAGCTGTTGCACCAAAATTTTTTCAATGATTGTTTTTGTTCAAAGTTTATTTATATGTTAATGAAATGTCCATATCGAGTATTTAATATAGAAAACGAATAATATTTATTTCACAAATTAAAATTAATATTTAAAACAAATATTTGTTAGATAAATCTAGTATACAAATAATTAATAAAATTCTTTTTTAATCATAAACAGATGTCGATTTTACTTGCAGGAAGATAAACATCCTGAATACTGATGTTCATATAACGATTGAATTTAAAATATTTCTAAATAATATACGATTGGTGGTTATATTTGACCAAATTTTCATGAGATTGGATCATGTAAAGCCACCTACGCAGAGTATGTCTGTTGATAGACTGATTATCGTGAATGTCACAATATTTCTGTTCATTTCATATATATAATATTAAATATTAATATTAATAAATTTTTTATTCATATAAAACAAAAATACTCTAATAGGTTAGAATACTTTATATCTTGTATATAAGGAATGTCTGACTAAAACAGAACTTTACTACTTATCATACAAATCGCAACTTTTTTGATTAATGCATTATGTATAATAAAACAAAATTTTTTAAACAAAATATAGATATAGAAAAGAGATATATGAATGTGAAATTTTTGATTTATGTGAATCTACGGATAGACAGAAATCGAGAAAGGCATTAAGATCACGCTCTAGCGGAATATATTCCGCATCGATATAAAATGCTTTTTTTCTTTTTTCATGGGAGAAAGTTTTCAAACGAGAAAGACACGAATGCTTCGCGAGGGTGGCCTACTTTTTGTCCTCGGCAATGTGATGCTGTTTTGTAAACAACATTATTTAAAAATTCTCTGTATATTCTCATTGTCTAACAATTCTTTTCCAGTGAGTAAAACTTTTTTGAGAAACTTTTATATATTTCTTCTTTGAAAAGGTTGATTGATAGAAGAAAAATTATTAACGTCGATTCATCATCGAGATCTGTCACTTTTTTTTCAGTATTTCTTCTTCAAGCGCGTGATTTTTGAATTTTTATTTTACAACGTATGAAAACGCAGTTTCTTGAATTCCCTTCTTGATTAATACTAAAAACAGATTTCATTTGGGAAATCTTTTATTTATAAAAAGTATAGAAATATGTTCTTTGTACTGAAGAAAATTATAATAGAATTTTTTTAGCACGAATAATTATGAGACGATTTATATTTTGAAATGAAAAAAAAAAGAAAATGTAGAACACGTGTTTCTTTCTTTTATAGGCTCGCAACAAACCGGCTGATGGTCATGTAAACCAAAAGGGCTTAACGGGACAAAAAGCTCCTCTGGCACCAGGACAAAAGGTAGCGCCTGGTGCAAAAGGAGCCGCGAAACCGGCACAGAAACCTTCCGCACAAAAAGGTCAGGTCAAGGTCACACCAAAAGCAGCTTCCGTTAAAACCGGCAAGAATAAAAAAAAAGGACACAAGCAACAGTATGACCTTCGTGTCACCATCAATTTGGTAAGTAATTATTTTTCTACGATTTAAAAGACTATTTTTCTCGCTATTTTTACTCTATAAATATTTTAATAATTTTTAAATTTACAATTAAAAAAAATTCAAAGGAAAAATAAATCAGCAAAAAAAAATGATCGGATTTTCAGCGATTATTTCCGGTATTCTGTTTACTTTTTTTTTTAAATAAGAATTTTTTAGTCCATTTCTTATATATGTTTCATAGAGGAAAATTATTGTTGGGTCTCTACGACAAGTTCCATGACACGTTGTTAAATGCCACAATTTTCGGTGATGCTGTTTTAAAAATAGACACTATGAGTCGTTTAACTAATGCGGGTGGATCACTAAAGACCTCACTTTATCTTTGGAATTCTATTAATAAACAAGAAAAAAATCTGTTTCAAAGGGAAAAAAACATAATTGCTAGAAAAAATATTCAATTACTAAGTGTTTCTTTTCTTTGATTAAAATCAAAAGTATCAAAAAAAAAAAAAATTTGTAAGACAAGAATAACTTTAATAGGTCCTCATAAGAAGTTTATATGCAAGCAAAAAAAGGTTTTTTCTTTTTAAAGAAATTAAAAACAAATAAATCGATCAATATTTACAATTACTCAAATGAAATATCTTTTATAAAAATCAATTTCAATTAATGTAACGAATTCCGAGATAAGTAAAAGGTCGTTTATTAAATATGAAGCACATATAATAATATATAGAGAGTGCGCGGCAATAATCAATCGACAAGGTTCTTAGTACGTAAATCAGCTGGAATCTAAGGTGTTACTGACACACCATTAGTGTGCGAACATAAATACAGATTAACACAGCTATGCATTGCCAAAAAGGTCCTTTCAGTCCATATACTTAACGTAATAAAACAACTATTACTCTAGAATTGATTTCCTTTAATCTTCAAATTAAAATTATTAATCATGATATCAAATTGTTGAAGGTTGGAAAGTAAATTATGAATACAATTTAGAATTTTAATTTTTAAGCGTACAAAATGAAATAATTTTTGTCCCCTTCATTTTTAGAAGCAATTTTAAATAATTGAATTCATTAATATTCGTTTTATAAAGTAAAAGCAATTAAAAATAATCGTCAATGCATTTATTATATTGCGTTCGCACGAATGCATAACTGCAATTACTAAGGGGCGAGAAGAAAAAAAAAATTTAGATTAAGAATAATAATTTGAACCTTTAAATTAATAAGAGTGGAAATATTTATGTAATATCTGCATCAGTAAATGGTTTGACGATAAACTTGAATTTCATATAGTTTGAATGGCCATAATAATTTTAACGTATGATAGTTGAAAATAATTGCTCTACCAGGTAGTAATGTTTTATTTACTATTTTAGTTATAGTTAAACAATTTGATGTACACAGTAAATGGATACTACTTTACTGAACTGACATTTTTCATACATCGTTTAGTTTGTAGACATAGAGGGTGCAATAAACTCGTAAAGTTACCTATTAGTAAAGATAAAATTAATAATGTTTCGAAAAATACTGTTATGGCTCGACTTGAATTCGTTGCCAACACTCAAGCTTTAAATTTTGGCAGTGAGAATCGGTCTACCGTGGATGTAGAGATCATAGTCGTCCAATCTGTGGGCAGTTAACAAGCAAAATATTTTTAAATCTTATCGAACAAATAACATTTTTTTAAATTCTACTTTCTTGCTTCCGTGATCGAAACTTGAGAAGAAAATTCTAAATTTAAAAAGTGCAAGTGTGAAGGAACTTTAAATTAATCAAGTGATTATAAAATAATACAGTGTTCTTGGTGACAACTTTATAATTAAAATATGGAAAATTTTAAAACAAACAGAATATTAAATTTTACGCCAGATAAACTGAAAAAAATTAAAATAAGTAAACAAAAGATAATTTTTTAAACAAATTTTTAATATCATTAAAAATTATTATTTTGTTGATGATACAATGATGTTTTTTTTTCTAACAATTATATCAATCATATTTTGTGAGCAACAATTGGAATAATTATAAACCGGTATAATTTGACTGTTAATTTAGAAGAGACATTTCAGTTAACGCTAGCGCAGCAAATATTGATTTTCTGTCTGACGATATATCGCTGTTTGGCAAGTTGCTAGAAACTAGAAAGAAGTATACATATATATATGCAACGCGAGGGAATGCAAGGACACGTTGAAGATAAAAATTGGAGATTTTTTAAAATTCGCTTCAACTCATTTTAGTTTATAGAAATTTAGAAATTATTTTCATCTATAAAGTCAAGGTCTCGGCAAAGAATTACAAATCAAATTCACAAAACTGTGCGCCAAAAAATGGCGGATACAGAAAAGAAATATTCTTCAGAATATGGTAGACTTCGAAGGCTCACGAGCAAAATTGATGGTCAAATTAGACAAATAAGTGTAAGTATAGAGTTCAATAGAATAATTTCAATTATTAAATTAAAAATTCATCCCGAAATAAAATATATTTTCAATACTCGAAATATAAATTGAAATTTAAAAAAGAATAATAGATATAGATATCGAACTTTCAATATTTGTAAACTTTTAATTGAACGACAGTTAAAAATTGAATTATGAATACACGTCAGTTTAGCCGATTTCGAAGGCAATTCAGTTTTTAGAGATCTCTTTTTCGAAAAAAAAGGAATGAGCTGCAGAGTTAGTGAATAAAAGTGGGTTTTTTTTTTCAAATAAATAAAAAAATGAACCATGGCGATATCTCGTTCGTGTTCACGGTTGTTTTATTGAATATATCCCCATCCGTCGAAATCGATGATCAATCAAGCTGAATAAACGAGAGGACTATATCAATTCTTGCTGCAGGACGAGAGTCGGATAATCTTTCAGAAAATTTGATACATTGTCAACTTTTATCCTTATTTAATTGGTCATATCTGTTTTTTCAACAAACATCTATTTTCAAATTCATTTTTGTATAATTTGAAAAAAAAAATTGTTAAAAAATAACCATGTTTGGCTGAGAAAAAGTTTGATTCTCTCTATTATTTGTGATATCAATTTTAGACAACTTTCTCCTATTATAAAAGAATGAGCCAAAAAAAATTTTTTGCACATTTTTGGCAATGTTATTTTTAAAAATAAAAAATATGTATACATCTAGCACCAACGGTTAGAAACAATATCAGTCAAGCAGTTGTCTCGAAAGAAACTGACCGTAAAAAGCACATGTTACACCATCTGTCTGACCAACGCCGGCTATATCTATTACTGTCAGTCAGAAATAAAAAAAAAAAAATTTTTAATCAAAATGAAGCAAATTATGTTGTATAGGATTAAATATTTTTGTAAAGGAAAATGGCTTTTTGTTATAAACACTAGAAAAGTAATTTTAGAATAATTGTTTTCTAAGCCAGAGATTTAAATTAATGAGAGTGTTGCGCTTTAGTGAGTGAACGCATTTTGGCACACATTATTATAATAATTTAGGAAGTGACCTCTCCTCTCACTAGACAAGTTCGCTTATAAATTTATTTGCGTACTGCGAGTTGATACTCTCCTGGCTTGATAATTAGCCTCAAAATTATAATTACCGCAAATATAATAATAATTGCGATAATTTTAGAAAAAATATATCAAATATAAAATTTATTTTTCTACTTTATACTTTATTTTGTTCATCTTGAATTCGTCTAATCAGAAATGATTTCTCTTTTTCAGTCCGAGTATGGTCTCTCAGAAGATCAAGTTGCGGGTAAGTTTCCAACTTTATTGATGTCGAGCCAAAGATTGTAAAAAAACAGGGAAGAGATGATATCAAAGTTTTTTGCACAGCTTTCTCAAGGAACACGAATCAATTTAATGCTTCATTCATGTGAATTAAAGTTCGATAACTGGCACAAGCTATTTCATAATGCATAGCTGTATGTCGCGTATTTTTTCTTTTAATAATTGATTGCAAGTCTGAAATCAGGACAAACTTTTTTAATCTACTGCAATTTATCTTTTATAACCTTTCATTTACATATCTAATCGTTGTCTATTTATATCAAAACATGTAGTAAAGGTTTACGAACATAATCATAAATCTTTCAAACATATACTTACATACATAAAGGCATTGTCATTTTATATATTTTTTTAGGTTTAAATTTTAGTTTATTTTGTTTTAAATTTATATATGTTATAAATCTCTTTCAAAAAGTCATATTTTTTTATTGCCCATTATAGAGAAAAAAAATGAAATTGACAAAAGTATTTGTTTCATGTAAAAGAAAATATATTTCGTGAGAGAAAATAATTGTAAAGAAATAACAATTTCTTTTTTGCACTTAAAACGTTCAACTTCAGGCTACATCAAGCAATTTTCGTTCTTATCGCAAAGTTTTCAGGCGCTTTACATTTATAAATGAGTTAGGGAAATGCGGATTTCCACTTATCGCCTCGTTCATAAAAAGGCGCAACTTGCAGACGGTATAAAAACATTATTTATTCCGGGTTTCTTCAAGTGACTTTTGAATTTTTAAATATTTTTGAATATTGCAAAATTGTTTTTATCATTTTCTTCAAAACAACTTTTGCCACTGGCGCTTTATATCGAATTCTTTTTTCATATTTTCTAATTTTCGTTTTGCTTTTATATAAAAAAATACTAACCTGGCGATATTGCAATTTGCAATAGCGACGATTTATTTTGCTTTCAGTATAAAATAGATTAAAATTCGTTTTTATAAAATGATTAAGCAAATGCAATATCTGTGATGAAAATTCAAAGGTTGTGAGCAGTGGCTTTTACATATGCGCACACATATCGCAGAAAAATATATACGAGCGACTCTTTTCCCTCTTTTTCTTCTTTTTTTTCCACTCTCAAGGGGAAATGTACTGCTCTCAAAATACGAATGCAAGTTATAACGCCACTTGTTATCGAGCGACATAAAGTATGGCAACGGGATAAAAATGATCATAAAATACAATTCGCGTGGAGCAAAAGAGAATTCTTCGCAAAAGTGTAAACGTAATATTTGAAATGAGTGACCGAAAAAAAATATAAAAGGATTTATTGTTCGATTTTCGCTAATATATTAACCTATTTTCAGACAGAATTATTGATTTTGAAAAAAAATTTATTTTCTAATATGGAATTGATTGAGATTCTCATTTCACATATTGTATAGTTAAAATTCAATAATTGTCCTGAAAAAATTAGAGGTATATCAATTTTTCGTGTGAGTTATTTGGGTGCACGAAACATAATTCGCCTCTATACGACGTATCCTTGTTGACATTAAACTTGTATACGGGCATGTCGAGTGCAAGTAGCGGATCGAAAATTTATAAGAGCGCATTTCTAAAAGTATGTTATAACATACATATTTGGCCTCTTGCCCAAATCTCATACTGGTTTTGCCCATTTCTATATATTCCGTATATCTCTGCATTTTTTAACTATACTTTTAAAGTAATTCAAAATTTTCATTTTGTACATATTGTATGAAATGTAGATTTAATTTTTATGTTAAATTTTTCATATACATAGGAAATTAAAACCCCAAAGTTTTAAAAATTGATATTTAAAATATAGATATTCAACAATAATTTGTAAGAACGCCTCTTTTTGTGGTGTTATTTACGAGCTCACTTTTCGAATCTTATCGAATTTGCTGTGGCCGCAAATTCGCGTGCAGTTGGATCTTGCCATGTATTCTGCCAGCCAACTAAGTATCCACAAGTGGTATACTCGAACTTGGTTCACTTTATCGATCTTGATGCGAAATTAATGACTTTGGGAAACTAATGGATCATAAAGCGGAGAGCGTAATGCGAAACAGTTAGTGAAAGAAGAATGAAACAAATACTTCCGTTTCTACTCGAGTGTAATATCAATTTTCACCATCAGGTCTCATTTTCTCCATCGATATAGTTCGAAATTTGTTAAATTCAAGAGAAAATATTCAAAGTCATACAATTTCATGGGGACGCGATATTTCTCAAATTAAATTATGTATTTCGATATTGTGCGATCTTTAAATAATTTAATAATATAAAAATATTTTTTTGATTTTAAAAAATTATTTTTCTCCTGAGGATCCATTACATAACTTTTTCCGGATCCCACATTCCGTATTCCATATTCCGGATTCCACTTTTCACATTTTGTATTCCGGATTCCACATTTAGGATTCTACTTTCAAAATTCGGTATTCCAGATTCCACTTTTCACATTCCAGATTCCACTTTTCATATTCCGAGTTCCACATTCCGGATCCCACTTTTAAAATTCCACATTTCACATTCCGTATTCCGGATTCCACTTTTCATATTCCGTATTCAGTATTCCACTTATTACATTCCAGATTCCACTTTTTACACATTTTGAAAGTGGAATACGGAAAGTGGAATCCTAAATATGGGATCCGGAATGTAGAAAGTGGAATACGGAATGTGGAATAAAGGATCCGGAATGTGGAATGTGGGATCTGAAATATGGAATCCGAAAAAAGTTATACGTGTATAAGAGTCTTTGAATTTTATTAACTTTTGCGTGATCCAACTTTCAAGATTTGTAACTGAAAAAAATGTAGTTTTAAAATTATTTATAAGAGTAAATAAATTAATTTTTTAAAGAATTTTATCAGAAACAATGAGGAAAAAGTTTTAGTTTCTATGATTTTCATATTCAACAGTGTTATTCAATATTAATAAAAAAAGGTATTAAATTGCTTTAATCTGTTAAGCGATATTAAAAAAAAATCATATCACAAAACACGCATTTTGCTATTCAATAAAATGCTTTTAAAGCTTATAGAATTAATAAAAAAGGATTAATATTATATAAATGCAAATACACACACGGGAAAAAGGTGCTCGACCATACTACATATATGTATATTACTATATATGGTATTATCTGAAAATTACATAAAGCAGATTTTAGTTTGAATTGAAGCTCTATAGAGATGTATTTCGATTTTTAACTTAAGCTTCGAAATAGTATAATAAATTTGATAAAAATTTATTGAATTTATATAATATAATAAAATATATCGATTTTTTTCTTTACAGAATTTAAAGAAGCTTTTATGCTCTTTGACAAAGATGAAGATGGCACTATCACGATGGCTGAGTTGGGTGTTGTCATGCGATCACTGGGACAAAGACCATCGGGTAAGTTGTCTCATCATGAATAACCATGAAGCCTGGGGATTTGCAAAATTGGGATAAATGTTAAATCTATTTTCTAAAGTTATTAAAAGCTTTAAGAAATTTTCGCTTCTTTTTATTATCTTCTAAATCAAAATTAATCAAGGAAAATACACAAATAGTAAATACATTACTATACAAAATAATACAAAAAATAAGACTGATAAATTTTCTTTCACTTAAAATTTTTCATAATTGTAAATCATATGCATATTTTCAATATTCGCATTGAAGAAATAATTCATATATTGCTCTATTTTCGGTGTTTCAAGCTTATCGTTCATGAAATAAAATATTACACGGAAAGTGTGCCATTTTGTGAAGCTCTTCCGGAAATCTCACCTTGTTTTTCCGGCAGGGCTGAAAATACTGCGATCTGTCAGGCGATGTGAAAAAAAAAAAAAACTATATATCATTTCACAAAACACGCATTTTGCTATTCAACAAAATGCTTTTATATATATTTAAAAGTTTATATTTCAAGTAAGAGAAAAATATTCGAGAATTTATTTTTTTTACTAAAGTACAATCAGACCTAAACACAATTAGAAAAAAAGCATGTATAATGTTTTTTAAACTTTAATCGTAGATTATATATGCAATCGGGAATAGAAATCAACACAGTGTGTAAGAAAAGGTCGCAATGAATTTAAAATTTAAACTGTAAGATTATTATATGCGCTTTATTTTTATAAGTTACATTTTTCTGAGTTATCAATCAAACCAAATCATAAAATATTAATGCTTTTATAAATGTTACTTATAAACAACCCAAACAAAAATTTACTAATGGCGCAGTACTGGCGCAGTACTGACAAGTGTTGGCGCAGTACTGGCACACAGTATTGGCAGCAGAGTTGGCGTAACTTTGGGATGATAACATTTTACCAGTATTGGCTGCCAGAGTTGGCACCAGTAATGGTAACCACTACTGGTTCAGTACTGGCTGAGTACTGGTAGTTTTGTAATTTATTGTATACGAAAAGAAAAGCTTTAACTGAAACTGAGATAAATTTCACTGCAATAGTGAAATCTCTGCTCCAGGTAATACTTTTTTTTAGGAAAAAGTGTTTGAAATTTTTAGTAACCCAACAGAAATTAAATATTAATTAAATTAGTCAACTAACTAATTAATATTTTATTATATATAAAATCGAAAACTCCAAGAGTTTTTATTTTTTATTAAGTATAATATATATTGCAAATTATTATTTAAAAAAATCAAAAAATAAATATAAAAAAATGTTTATTATAAAACCAAACTTTTATAATAAAAACAGTTCAGTAAAAATAAAAATGTTTATAAAATAATTAGCAAAATTAAACGCGCGCCAAATTGAGTATTTAATTGTTTGTTATAAAGAAATTAAAGATTGATATTATCAATAATAATTTAATTTATTAGAATATTATTACATATTAAATGATAATAATGAAAATTATATGTTTACAGGCCTCGGATTATACGACTTTTTCCGACTTTTTTCAAAAATACGACTTTTATCGACTTATTTTAATAAAATGCGACATTTTTTTTTACATTTGAAAAAAAATGTAAATAAAATACATTTTTTTAGTATAAAATTTATATCTTCTTCAGATCTTCTTCAATTCAATTATTTAACAAATTTTCAACTAAAATGATTCTTCACTAAATTAATTATTTTTAATAATTTTAATGAAATACATCACAAATTCAATTATATAAAAATTATTTTTCAATTGAAATTTTTATGAAATTTAACAATTGTTTATAATTTAAAAAAAAATATCACAATAAAATTGAATTATTTTTTAAAAATTTCAATTCAAAATAAACTAAAATTCAATTATTACCCGAAATTTTAATTCAAAATCAATTAAAAATCTAATAACTATCCAAAATTTTCAATTTAAAATTTAATTATTTACCAAGTTTTCTATTTATAATGAAATAAAATTCAATTATTTTCTAAAATTTGTATTCAAAATTAATTATTCAAATTTTCAATCAAAAATGAACTTCAATTAAATTATTATCCAAAATTTCAATTAAAATTCAATTATTTCCCAAAATTTTCAATTCAAAATGAACTAAATTTCAATTATTTTCCAAATTTAAAATCAAATAAAATTTCATTATTCTCAAAAATTTGAATTCAAATTTAATTGAATTTTCAATAATTTGAATTTAAAAGCATCTAAAATTTAATTATTTCTAAAATTTTCCATCGAAAATTTGTTTTTTGAAATTTCAACTATCTGAAACCATTTTTCAATTAAAAATGATTTTCAAATTATTGTATTTTGTCCGCATTTTCTAATAAATTTTTAGTGAAATAATCTAAAATTTTAATTAAAAATCACTTAAAGTTTCAATTAATTTCAAAAATCTCAATTTTAAAACTTTGAAAATTCAATTAAATTTAAAAAGTGTTTTCCAAAAATTGTTTGATAAATTATTTTTAGTTCTGTAAAATTTAATAATTGTTTGAAAATTAACAATATCTTTTGAAAAATTATTTATAAAAATTTCAACTTTAACCCTTCGAAAAGGATTATTATTAAAAAAAAATTTTTTATTTAAAAATCTGTAAAATATTTTTGTTAAAATAAAAAACAAATCCACTTTTTTTTGGAATATAAATCGACTAAAACGACTTTTTGTATCTTTAAGTTGATTCGAGGCCTGTGTTTTTATAATTAATATTTAATAGGTATTCGTTGGCCCCTGGTACCTTAAAAATTAATTTTTTTTTGAATTACTATCTTGTACTATTCAAAAAAACACGTGAAATCAGAAAAGGCCAACTTCAAGTTAGGACAGAAGGACAGACCAAGCATTTTATTATTATATAATAATTATAATGTATATAATTATACAATTAGCTATTTAATTATTTTATTATTCACTTTAATTATTTGCATGAAAATAAATTTTTGAAAAACTTTTTTAAGAAAATAAAAGTTGTTTTTTAATTTTTAACAAGTGTTGTCAAGAAAATTTTTTAAAATTTTTATTTTAAAAATTATTAATTTTTTTATAAAAAATTTTATTTATTTTTAGTTTGATAGTTTAAATTTTTTTTGGTTTATTGCATATCTGAAAACAAAAAAAAAACTTGCAAAATGTTTTGGAATTAGTCTCAGGAAACTTTTTGTTTAAATAATTTTACCCACAAAAAAGCAAACTGAAATACTTTTTAATTTTCAAAAATAAAATCAAAGTGAAAAAATTTTTATAAACAAAATATTTAAACAAAAAGATTCATCAGATTCACTCTAGAAATTTTTGTAAACTAGTATTAATGAAAAAGAAAATCTATTTGAGCCAGTACTGGCTCAATATCGGCTCAGTACTGGTTTGTCAGTACTTGCAGGGTGATACTGCACCAGTACGGATACAATGAAAATACCAGTACTGGTTCAGTACAGACTGCCCAGCCTCGGCAGGCAATACTGAACCAGTTCTGCGCCAGTAGTCAACTCTGGTATAATACTGAAATTTTTGGTTGGGTAAATTTTCTTAAAAAAGAATATAATTATTATATCATATTTTATTACTTGCAGTGAAGTCATTTAAACTTTTTTAATTATGTTACAATTGAATTTTTTATTGCACTATTAATTTATTTAAATTTACGGCAAGTGCTTTACATACCTTACAATTTGCAGTAAATTAAAAGGCAACATACAGATTTTTTTATTATCAGTATCACTGTTTGAAATTTAATTTTTTGTTTTCTTTCAGAGACAGAATTACGTGATATGGTGAACGAGGTAGATCAAGATGGTAATGGAACCATTGAGTTTAATGAATTTCTTCAAATGATGTCAAAGAAAATGAAAGGTGCAGATGGGGAGGATGAACTGCGTGAGGCCTTTAGGTGAAATTCGTATTTTTTTTTTTGATTTTATAATTTTATTTTTTAAACAAGAATTATAATTTTGTTTTTTTTTTAAATCAGAGTATTTGACAAAAACAATGATGGATCGATTTCCTCAATGGAACTTCGTCATGTGATGACGAATTTGGGAGAAAAATTATCGGAGGAAGAGGTCGATGATATGATTAAAGAAGCAGACCTCGATGGTGATGGAATGGTTAATTACGAAGGTAAAAATTTTCAGAAAATTAAACTCACAGTTTAATAAAATTATAATGAAATTTTAATTATTATTCATAAATTTTGATACAAGTAATTAAGATTTATAATACAGTTTTGTATAAGAAAAACTATTATTATTAAGAAGTTTCTATAAAGAAGAGAAAATTAATTGTCCGATTAAGCGAGAACTTGCATATTCGTGGACTTAATGAACTTCTTACACAATGCTCGCGAGTAAAGGTCCTTCAGACTAATTAGTCAGAATCACGAAGACAAAGGAGCTGTCGTAAAAATGAAACGATTTGTATCCGGTAATTGATAGCATAATGCTCGTTAAAGAAAAGTTTCTTAAACTTTTAAAATCGTGCAATGCATCCAATGGGTACGAAAATTCAACGAATAACGAATAGCAATGTCCTATTTTTGAGACGTAATATTGACTTTGATAGTTGCAAGCCTGAAATATTGAACTTTGCCCCGATTCCTCTCCTGCTCGAGTTTTTAAATTAGAAAAAATGGCTTAGTCCATTTTTGTCTCAATAAAATATTTTTTATTTTTAATTTCATTTAAATAAAATAAATCAATATTTATTTAATTAAATTTTTGAAAATAATTATAATCTTTTACAGAATTTGTGACAATCTTGACGTCGAAGAATTAGTTCGCGGGGCGTGTAATGCTCGTCAAAACTCTCGAACCGGAAATCGACGTTCTAGCGCAGAAAGACGAAGGCAATCAAGTTCCTCTCAATAAGATTGTAACGAAACGTTTTATTCGAAATCTTTCTTATTGGAAGAACAAAGAAGAGGAAAATTAAGAAGTAAAAAACAATGAAGAGAAAAATAAAGTAAAAAAATAAAAAGAAAAGTTCAATGATAAAGTAGAATACAATAAAATGAGAAAGAAGTTCTTATAAAAGAAAGTGAATTCTTCGATCTCAAAAGTTATTACTTTACATAAGCAAGAATTACACTTTTTTTAAGCTTTCACATAATATACAGATTTGCAAAAAGTTTTTCAGCACAAGATGAAATAAAAATGAAAAAAAAAAAAAGGAAAAAAATTTTAAAATCTTTTGAAAACTATTAATATTTTCCAGTATAATGTCATTTACATTGGAATTTTTATCATCATAAAAAAACTTTCTAAAGGCAAATTGGCGATAAAATCGAAAACAATTTTCAAATATAAATCATTGGCGTATTTTCTCAATGCCAACGATAAGATATAAATTAGAATAATTATTTTTCTGATTTTAATTTAAGTAAGTTATTCTAAATAAATAGTGAGAGAAACAATGAAAGAAAATTATAACAAGGTCGCTCCTGAAACAATCAATAGAGCTTTTGTTAGTATATCTATATAATTATTAATTATCTAAATATATAAATAGTTACCTATGCTATTCGCGCCATTTATATACCATATTATACATATTGACTTACTTCGATCAGCGCGTTAGATAATATAAAGTTTTTTTTTTTTTTTTTTTTAATTAAACATTATTAATAATTAATATTTCAACTTGGAAAAAATGACGCAACTGTGTTGTATTATTAATTTTATTAGTCTTATTCCGAACATTGTATTATATTTTCGTTAACGAATCATGTAAACAATTTTAATATTTTAAAAAATACGATTTATCAATATTCATTTTAATATTATTATTAAATTATTTTTAAAAGTTATTTAATAAAATTTATTTTATTTATAAAAAGTTTTTGTTGAATCTTCCTTTTTTTCTATTATATGTTTTTTTTTTAAATAATAGCAGACATTTAAAAATATGTATGAAAAAACATAAACTGTTCTCATAAAATTAGTATTCGTAACATTTTTCTCATATTTTTCACTGTCATTATAAATAATTTTTTAAACATTTTTTTTTTTGTTTTTTTATTTAATAAAAATAAACAAATAAAATTGTATCACAACATTGTTTCGTTGGTTAATGAAGTGTTATATATGAAATAAATCAATTGAACGTCCTCAATGTTTTTGTGAACGTAGATATAAAATATTAAAGTCGCTAAAATTGAAGAAAAACTTGTTCAAAATTAAAATAAATAATCTTCTGGACGTTCTGTAGATATTATGCGCTGCATAAAAAAGAGAAAAATTGTATGTTGTTAATAACAAATTAAATTGAATGAAATTTTTAAACCTGCACAAAATAATATGATAAAGAAAGTTGTTTCTTGAAAATAAAACAAATGAATATTTAAATGCGAAATGAAAATCAATTATTGAAAATTAAAAGATTGAAAGTATCAACAACATTACAATCATTCTCTAAAACTTGAGCTCTGAATTTGATATAATATATATTACACCTATATAAATAGCACGCGCTTGTAACTATTAAAATTAGAATTACGCACATGTTAATGTTATAAATATTTGTTAATTAGCAAGCTGTTGCTGTTGTGCTGCGTGCCAAAGACAATCAGTGAAATACAATAAAGGTCGTCTTTGGTATGCAGATCAGTATAAGTGTGAGATTTGATGACGATATCATTCATCGTTTTCATTATGTGAGGCAAGTACAATATATTTCTAAAGAAAAAATCTCTCAATTTTGCACAGGGTTACGTGAAAAGATACCACATTATTTAAATTTTGAAATTTAAACACCGATTACAAATATTTCTATAAAAAAATACATATATATATATATTCTTGTGGTATTTTTCACGCCTTGACTATTTTCGAAAATGCGATGAAGGACAGTTTCGAAATATTGAAACAGAAATGTGAGAAATAGAACTAGACAATAAAACGTTGTGTTTCTTCATTCGTTATAACCGCAGTTATATATCTAAGAAAAAAAAAACTAGAAAACGATATATGAAAAAAAAAATATACACACATATATATATTGTATACAAAAATACGTATATATTTAGAGACAAGACTATATCTTTGCAGATACAGTAACAGTCTAATACAATAAAAATAGCTTGATTTCAATACTTTATCTACTGAAAAGTAATAAAATAATTAGAAAAATAAAACAAAGTATATAATTAAAATTTTTAATTAATTTCAATATGAATTTTTAATTATTAGCAAAAAACTATTTTCAGATAAGATAATCTGAAAATTTTCTCGTTATAAATATACTTTGTTTTATTTTTAGAAAAAAGCAACTAACATCTTCTAATTACCCATGAGATGATAAAGTGTATAAAATACACATTATTGAAAAGACGCTGGTACGTACGAAAAAAGTGAGAAAAACACAAAAATGTACAAATTATTTCACAACGTGTTGCAGATTTTCAACTGCAGTTCACCTGAAATTAAAACTCAAGTAGTAACAAACATTTTCTGCTATACAATTCGAGACACGTTGAAATTATATTAATAATTTAAACGCGAATTTTTAATGGAAATTAAATTAACTTAATGAAAACAAGAAAAGGCAAATTTGAAAGACATCAAATTTTTAAATTTCTGAAAAATTATAGTTGTTTACAGTAATTAAAAAAGTTATTAACAATAGTAGAGTAATTTAAAATTAATGCAAATTAAACATTTTGCTAATTCACTTAAATATATAGCAATATAAAAAAAAAACGTCCCGAAGACAATATTACATCATATATAATAAAAGGGTTTAACTTTATCAAAATGAATTTCGTTAAACCAATTACGTCCATGAAAATAAGGAAATATTTTTAATTTTTAAAAAATTATCATCGATTTGATACATGAAAGATGTCAAGTTTACTTTCAATATAGAATGAAATAAGACCGGCAGTTATAAACCAACGGCAACAATATTAAATTTTGCAATTATAAAATATTTTCAAATATTCTTCGCACATAAATTACATTAATGAATTTCATTAAAATTATTATATTTGTTAATTATTATTTACACATCATCGATCCTGACGTGCTGCTCTTTAAATCTGAATTAGTAAAAATGTCTACTAATTTAAATTAGTGACTCACTTTTTGCTTTAGAATTAGTAAAATTTTACTAATTGAGAAGCAAAAAGTGAGTCACCAATTTAAATTAGTAAAACATTTTTACTAATTCAGATTTAGAGAGTGAGCACACTTAATTAAAAATTTGTTCTTATAAACACGTCCACTCTTAAATCAATTCAAAGCCTGTAATATTCAATAAATCATCACGGTCTAATCAAAAAATATTTTTATAGATTGCTGATCGGTGCACGTCAAATATCCTATCATAAAAACGAGATAATTTACACATATTATAAACTTATATATATATTACATTACATGGTGCAAAGTTTTATTATATTAAATTTATATTACAACTAAATAATTATAAAGTTACGAAATACTTATATATCTTATAAAGAAGGATGAGAGTCATTATTTTGTACGTCTTGAGAAAATTATTATCATTAATAAAAATTGACTTGGGCACAAAAATCGAAACAAAATTGTAAAAAAAAAGGAATTTATTTCGAATTTTGTGCCTGTTATATTTATTCTTTATTACCAATTTATTATTATACTAATTTTTAATAAAAATCGAGACTCGTCTTCCGTTAATTCTGTACACCTTTGTTTATAATTAAAACAAAGGTATCAAAACAGGAATTCAAATATGTGATTTATTTTTATATAATTGTAAATGGAAATGGAACTGATGGAAAATGAATATGAATTATATTATATATATATAACAAGTATGATTGTTAGTGTTCGATGAGTAATTCCCATAATGAAAAGTTTTTTAAAAAGTGTTCCTCTTCAACTGAATTTTCTCTGATTTTTTTAAATCAGATTAATTTTGTTCTAAATTTCATCTATTTTATATACAATATTACTATTGAATTGTATTTTACAAAAAGATATTTTTATTATAAAAAATTTATATATAAAATGAATCATATCTTTGTACAGAGATAAAATAAGTAAATATCATCGAACACTGCAAGTATACGTATATATAGCAAAATGAGATGTTTTCCAGACTTTGAGAATATATTTTCTAATAAAAGATATGATGATGGTTCTCATTGATTGATATCGTTTCGAAAGAAACGTGACATATCGACAAAATAAGACACACGGGTAAAATAATACTTTCGAGGAGCCAAACTCTCCTAAAAATAGGGGAAAAAAAAATTATTTTTTAATTCTCTTAAATTATTTCCATAATATATAAAATTCATTTCATTTTTCATAATATATATATGTTAGAAATATTTTCCTCAAATATTAACTACAATTTTTACGCAATTATTGAGAAAGCTCTATAACTATATAAATATTATAAAGGTTTATAATTAAAGATTTCCAAATTGAAGTCTCTCTATATATATATATTTAAGCGGAAAATAAAAAATACTTGTTTCTATATAAAAGTTTTTATAGAATTCTAATAAAGTTCTAAGATGAAAAATATACTGAGCTTTTTTAAAACAAATATTAGAGGTGCTTTTGAAAAAGAAACATAAAACGCTCTTTTTAAGAGATCTAAGAATTTTTGAAAAAATATGACAATTTAAGACCAGAATATTAGAATAATATTATTCATTCTTATCTAAATATATATATTTTGCATATTATAAAAATGAAAATTTATTTATAATTTGAAAAAAAAATTTCTAATTTTACAATCATTAAAATTAATTATGCAAAAGGAGTTTAAAATTATTTCGCATATATATAAAATTATTATACACGTGTTTCTATCGATAATGCATAAAATTAATAAAAAAAAAAAATATATAGGCTCTTTGAATATGCCCTTCTCACTAAAAATCACTATTTAATGCATTTTAATAAATAAATTTAGAACTATTTATAAACACGATACACACGTGTTTCAAGATAAGCGCAAAAGTAATCAAATAATATAGACGTGCAAAAGATCTGACTAAAATAAGTCGAACGAGGTCATTATTGTTAATGATTACTATATACTAATAATAAACAATTATGCATATATAATATAAATATAAGTATAAAGGAAACGTTACGCTGGCTATTCTCATGAGATACGCTGCTTACAGGGAATTTTCTTTTTTGTTGCATCAATTCATCATTTTCATATTAACGACGATAAACATCGTTATATTTGTAGAATAATTATCCACAAGAACACGACAATTTTGTGGATATATATACGAATAAAAAAAATCGTGTCAGTAGCAAATAAAGCGAAAACATTATTTAATTGTTAGATGTTAATTGTTTGTCTAAAAAGTAAATATAGTGAAAGTTATCGGAGAAGCCTATAATTATTAAATTAAATTCTAAAATATAAATTCTAAAAATTATTTTAAAAATTTTTTTATCAAATTTGGTTACAGTAAATTTTCAAATTGAATTAAAATTTCAAACTATTATTATTGGTTTCTTCGATAACTTATATTCCTTCGGGATGTGTTTTGAAGAATGGTCTAAAAACTGAAGAGAGAGATATATATATATATAATTATACATATGATAAAAATCAATATTCCACGGCCGATAGATTATATAATGATGTTGAGATATAACTGTTATAAATAACAAATGTCTTTCATTACTTTATTAAACGAGTACAAGTTGATTAGTTAAACGCATCTTTAAAATGTACGCAAATCAATGTTCGAAATGTAAAAAAAAAAAATATATAAAGCAAAGAAGAAAACATGATTCAGTAATTCAGCAAGAATTGTAAAGCCTGAAATTCTAATTTTTTTCTCTTCTCTTAAATCTTTTCTCAATTTGTGAATGGAATTTTAAATACAATTTTTTAATCCTCAAAATTCTTTTCCACAGAAAAGTACATTAGAATTAAAAATATTTCAAAAACAATTTTTAATTTTAATTCATTTTACAGCTATTTTGGAGATTTTATAAAATTTTGACCGTCGTTGTGAACAAGCTCGATATTGCAAGAAATATGTTGTTTAAAGTACACGAACGGAAAAAAAAATCGCATTGTGAGTAAAATATATTAATATTTTTACTTGAATTCATATAATATATCTAAAGGAAAGAAATTTCTATTCAAAATTTAAAATATATTTATGAATGAAAAAATAAATAATGGAAAATACATATATTGATAAATGAATGTATTACATAAAAAAAAAAGTTTCGAATTCATTTTTTCAAATGCATTTTTGATGTAAAATAAAAAGAATTCGAGAAAGCGATGGAAGATATAATAGCGAGAGTGCCGTATGTGTGTGTGTTGTTCATGTCATATATCTAATTAGCACACAGGCAATGGCGTGTTCAAAAATGGAATGTATAACACGATTAAAGCCATTTTATAATGGACTATGAATTTCTTTCTTTCCATTACCCTTATTCATTTTATTATTACATTCTGTTGATTTCAAAGAAAATAAATAATATTTCATTTTAATAAAACTTGGGAAAATATTTTTTTCTATTTTTAAATTTTTATTTATAATTTCAAATAAAGCAAGTAAACAATAATTAAAACAAATACCTCCGTTTTGTGGTAATTTACTTCTTGCGCGCCTAAATCTTTAAAAAAAATAGCGGGCTTTAGATCATTTCAAGACTATTTCTTTTTTTTTTAAACACAATAAAATAATAAAAGTAAATATAAAATTTAAATTACAATAGAAAATTAAAGAAAAATATTACAAACGAATTTTTAGAATAAATAAATATAAAATGAGCAGAGAACTAAAAAAAAATTTAAGACTCATTTTGATTTGTGTGGTTCCTGTCAGCTGATCGAACTGCTGCGCTTGCGCAATTAAATCATAACAATAATTCAGAGTTATGTTAAAAGTGTTAAATTTAACATTATAAAAAAATACATAAAATTGGTGAAATTAAAGTTTATAATCATGAATGTCGTTCCCGGAACTGCATCTCTTCTTGAAGAATTAGACAGTATGTTTATTTTGTTACAATTTCTCTTTTTCTCTATATTTATAGGTTAAGTTTCAGTAATCAAATGTTTAAATTTTAATTAAAAACAATTACAAATGTCATTATTGAAAGTAAGTTTTAAATTAAAATATATTTATATTCGATGTAAAATAATTCAAGTCTATTGAATATGTAAAATACAATTGTAATCATACAGGTTATGTTACATTTTTACAACAAAATGTTTTTTTCAGAAAAACTCATGGTATTGTTGCGAGATGGTAGAACTTTAATTGGATATCTCAGGAGTGTTGATCAATTTGCTAATTTAGTTCTACATCGAACAATAGAAAGAATTCATGTAGGTAAAGAATATGGAGATATTCCACGAGGAGTCTTCATAGTCAGAGGTGAAAATGTAGTTCTTCTAGGAGAAATTGTGAGTTTTTTTTTGCATATATTAATTTTTATTTTAAAAATATGTGTTTAATAATTATTTGTTTAAATGTCTGATATTCTTTATTTTGTCTTAGGATAGAGAAAAAGAAAAGGACCTACCTCTTTCGGAAGTTTCAGTAGATGACATTTTGGATGCACAAAGACGGGAGCAAGAAATGAAACAGGACCAAGAACGTTTAATGAACAAAGCCTTAAAGGAACGAGGTCTTTCTTATATTCCGGATTTAGGCCATGATGATATGTTTTAACTATAATCTCCCTAGTTTTTCGATTCTTTTTTTTTTATATAATTAACAAAAAATTCTTGAATAACATTTATTTATTTTTCATTTGCTTCAAGTTATACTTTTAGTTAATTGAGAAATGTCAAATTCATGAAATACTTGACTTTATTTAGATTTATATTTTGACACGTGTAAATATACATACTTTTTCTATGATTCAATAACAATTTTTTTTTGCAAGATGTAATGGTTTACTTAAATGAAAGTCAATACTTCCGAATATATCAGTTTATTATTACTTCAAGAAGTTTTCCAAGAATACAGTGCTTCTTGACAACAGTCATACTTCGGATAATAGTTTCACGATTTACTTATATAGTATAATAATAAAAAATATAGGAGGCATAAAACTATCGATCCAAACTTTCATACTATTCGCAGTATATTTCACGTTGCAACGTCGTTGTAGCATTATTCGCTGCTACAGTAAAAAAAATAATGCAATAAGAAACGGTCTAACTTCACCTGTGTCTCTTATTTAAATACAATAACAATTTAAACTTAAACATATCATTTTTGTTTAAGCTCAGATCTAAATCATTTCTCTTACTTACACATAAGTATATATTTTTTGTTTTCAAAAAGCAGTTTCATTTACTGCTTCATTCATTCTGAGTGAGCTTAGATTCGAGTCACTGACATGTTTATGCATCAATGACTGATTTTTAGAATTGCTCAATGTCACTTTGTCCTTAATTGTACGTTTGGAATCGTTACGCTGTAAACTGGTACCGCGTTTTCTTGGAGAAAGTACTTCATCCATTATTTCCGAGGAATTATCTGCACTGTTAGTGCTGCCGGAAGCTATTCCTGAAGTATCTGACCCGGGATTATTACCATCCAAACAATGAAGAAGACTGTCAGATAGTGTGTCTTCGTTGAGAATATTTATATCAGATTCAGAAGGTTCAAAATCCCCGGTTCGAGATGTAAAACTCAAATCTACGGGACTTGCATCCAGAACGCTTCTCGACAAAAGATACTCTCTGAAAGTACTAGTGATGGAGGAACTTTTTTGTGCGCTTGAAATCTCATCAGCTGTCGAGAAAATTAAATTCTGATTATTTTTTACATCCTCCTGAACATTTTCCTTATTGTCAACTATAATGTTTTCACTATATGTATCGGGAGATTCTTCCATAATTGAAGCACAATCATTTCTAAATTCAAGATCTCCATTGAAACCTCGTAAATAAGAACTAGATGGTATTGAATCACGTTGCAAAGCTGGAAAATTGCAAATACTAGTGGTTGACAACATCATCACAGGTTTCCGAGATCTTGGTGTCATTATATTTTCCTACAAGAAGAAACAAAAAATAATTACAATCTAAAATATTTCATATAACAGTATGTAAATTTTTATATTAATTAATCAATGTAGTTAAAGATTAATAACAATTATTATAGAAAAGCGAAAGAATGAACATGCTAAATATGCATACCTGCATTGTTTTGCTCATCTTGGTAGCACTTTGTGTGATAGGACTCATGCTTTTATCATTATCCGTAATTGGGGTTAATATATATTCGTTGGCTGTTAAATTACGATGCAAAAAATTTGATGGCGTTGAAGTGTGAGCAGTAAACATGTTTCTTAATATACTTTTCATAGGCGAGGCATATTTAACACCTGTTGCACTACTCGTTCCTTCCGATTTCCTTGAATCCTTATCAGAAGTCGAATATCTTGATCCAATATTTGAAATTGATATTTTCGGTGTAAATAGAGCATCCATATTTGTTCTTTTTGAAGTGGCAATTGTAGGATCCGAATTTTGACGAACAAAATTTTCATTTTCACTTAAATCATCTAAACTTGCTTGTGACGAATACATATTTGGTGGTTCACTGCAGTGTCGGGATAATCTAACGTGTTTGGAAATTTTTGAGTTTGCTTTTTCATTGCCAGATATCCGATGAGAATTTAAATGTTCCTCAATTTCGCTGAGATTCGTTTCACTGTAGTTTTCGGTTCGAGAATGCTCTTCGTCAATGCTTAAGAAATTTATTAATCTCGCCTTCTCAGCTTTAAACATTGATAAGATGGGTGTATGTAGGCTTCCAGTGCTACTACTCATATGCTTAATTTTAAGCAAATTATCTGTTTCAAGTATATTAAAACTATCCGAACTAAGTTCATCTTCTGATTTACTTAAGGTCCCTTTCGGAGGAAGACGTGGTTTATCGAGAGGCTGTTTAGAACAAGCAATCAAGCTATTAGTCACTGTATCATTCACGTGCATGAAAATTAGATTGGATTTATTTTAGAAAAAAGATTCAACAGCAAAGTTGGTTAATTTGAAAGTTTTTTTTTTTTATCTTGCACAGAAATGGGACATTTATAGATTTAAAAGAGACATATATAGAGAGTTTTACTTATCTACAACTTACCACAGATAACATATTTTCTTCGCTGCTCGATCTACTGAAATTACATCCAAGTTTCAAGTCCAAAAGTTTTTTATGACCCAATAACTTCTTTTGGAAAATATGCTTTTTTATAGAATCTCCTAAACTTTTTGTGCGAACATTTTTCACGTGTCGTGGAGTGCCTTGACCATTTTCTTTATTGAACTGTTTAACGAGTTTTCGTTTCTTGGCAGATTCAGGCATTGATTGAATGTATGCATAGAGCTGAGCCAATGCCGCCTGTGTGTCTTGAGAGGCCGTAGCTTGAGCTGTTAATTGATGATCCACAAAACTAAAAACGGTATGAGCAGTTCCTGTAGTGTCTGACATTGATTCATTTAACTGAAATATAAATGCAAAAAATTAATGACAATGGAAATATTAAATAAATATGCAATTTAGTATTTATAACTTACGTCAGACTTTTTTGGACTTAGAAGTTTTCTTTCTTGGTCCACCCAATAAGCTCTTACGTCCATTGCTAATTTTGGTGGAATTTCGAACAACTCTAAACCTTTTTTAATCATGAATGCAACAATAACCGATAAATTTTGCGAGTTAATATGTAAAGCTTCGGGTGATAATTTTCTCGGACACATTAAATGTGGTGTGAATAGCGTAGCGAGAGTATCACAATTCATTTTGTTACTGTTTTCAAAAGAAGCAGTTTTATTTAAAAGATTCAACAAGTGCTTCAGTAAAACTCTATTTATCGGTGGTAAAAGTAACAACAAAAGCTGCAATGACCTCAAAAGTCTGGCATCATTTGCACTCGTTTCTGGACTACATAATTCTGAAATTGATATATTATATGAATATTTATAATTAGACTCATCGAGGAAGTACAAGATTAAGACAAATCATAATTTACCTGCTATTTGGCAGTGAACGGGATAATGTGAATCGGTCAAAAGTGGTTCTGGGAGATCTGCCAAAAAATTTTTCAGAACAGATGCACAATCATGAACACTAAAACGACCTTCTTCAAAATCCAGAGAAAGACCCTGATGAAGGGCATTCTTCAAATCTTGTTGTCTTGTTAATTTTCCAGTTCGTCGAAAAATCCCTTCTTGAAGAATACCTTCAATTTAAAAGTTAAAGTTCTTGTTGAAACTTCTCGTGTTTAATTATATTTGTGATAAGTATCATTAATAATAATGTAATAGTAGTTGACGTAAACTTTAGATTAAACTCACATTCCTCCTGGGATAAATAATTAATTAGTCGCTTGACTTGTTTTATTCCCTCTTGCGTCAATGGAACACCTTCAGGTCCTTTATGTAGATTTAAAGATGACTTTGATTTTTTTGAAAAGCTTATCAGACCCCACTTTTTAAGTTTCGCTTTCTCCATAACGCAATCATTGCTGTAATAAAAGGATATTGTTAATAAAACAATTTCAAATTACATGTGACAACATCAAAATAAAATGAATTCTAATTTTCTGTTTTAATGAATTTTCTTTCATAAATGCGGTAAAAATACAAACCAAGAAGAGAACAATGCCTCATTAGATCTAGCATTGATTAAAGGTGAACTCATAAGGTGTTTAGCTTCTCGCCAAACATTATTCAATTTTTTTGGAAAACCATAACAGGATGGAGTAAAAACTTCAAACTCCGGCAATTCAAAACTAATGCATGTTTACAAATAATTACTTTATGTAAACAGACATAATGCAAAATAAGAATCATATTTCATGCATTTGTGTCCCTTCAATTTTATATCAATAAAAAAAAATAGCTTATTAAAAAAAGAAACATTTTTTACAAAATCTGTAAATATTTTATAAAAACTACATACATATATACATGAATGAAAATTTAGAGTATAATTAATTAAACTTGGTTAATAAAATTACTTTTCAAGAAATGAATAATAAAAGGAGTTTTTTTCAGAAAAAAAATAGTTTTAAATAAAATAAAAAGAGGTTAAACATACTCTTCTGTATTGCGATCCAATTCAAAAGATAAGTGCATTTTGACAAGAGTGAAGAATTGCTCCGGATTTGCTGTTCGTAAACGGGAGGCTTGCTGCCCCTCAATTCCATCATTGAAATCTTCCATCGTTGATGTGAGAAATTTAATCAGGCACGTTTTATCATGTTTAAATCGCGTCTTTCACGCACACTCCCAAATTCTTCAATAACGGTTATGTGCACTGCCAAGAATTTGCTTTCTATTTAAAATAACCTCACTTTCTACATCTTTTATGTAACACATCTTTTTATTTTGATAAAAATGATTAAAGTTATACTAAATTTATGTCAAAATTTGTGTAAAAAATAAGGAAAATTGATTGTTTACAGAATCACAAGCGCGATTACACCTATACATCTCACGAAATGCTTTAAGATTAAGAAAGAGAGGCGGCGAACATCTGTCAAGCGGGTCCGCCTTTCCAACGATGCGCGCATGCGTAAAACTAAAAAACTATCTACCAATCATATTCTTGCCGACAGATAGCGGGAAATTATTTAAATTTAAATTTATTAACTACCATTATTTAAAATAATTAAGGGTTTAAATAAAATTCTGTTTTAATGTTTATTTTTGAATTAAATAATAGTCTGTATTTGTAAAGAGTTATTAAAAAAGTTGATTTGTAAAAAAGGTTTAAATGAACTAATTGATCTTAGCAACAAATATAAAATCTACCTTACTTTATTTTGGATAACCAAAAAAAAAATAAGTTTTATAATCATGTAAAGTAACACAATGTATTTGATTAGGAATATTTAGTTTAGGAATATTTTAATTTTCAATTATCAGAATTCAATGAAATTGATTAAATGTATTATTTTCAAAGTGGATTGAATAAATGAAAGAAAAGTGCACGTCAACAAAGAATGTCATGTTATGGTTAGTTGTAACTGTTTTTAAGTATTGAGAAAAAATTGATAAATATATTAATTAACAAGCTATTGTATAATATAGAAATTTATTTTTATCATCGTAGAAAATAAAATTATTTTATTAATTTTAAAGAAAATTATTTTGAAAACAGGATCGACATGCTCTGGTAAAAATAAACGCTCATGTTTATGTCAAGGAAATGTGAGTTGTTTGGATCGAGTCGAAGGTGATGGTATTCGTTCGAAAGGATCGTGTCCCGTTTCATGTCAATGTGTCGAAGAAGAAGCGTGGAATAAAAATATTCCTCCAAAACCAAATTGCGAATGGTTAAACAGCTTTAAGGAACTTCGTCGTCAATGGAGTAATCATAGTAGGCAGCAGAATTGCAAATGTTACGGTTGTATTTCATAGTGAGTTGAAACATTTATAAATTTTATCGCATTAAAAATAAATTAGAAGCTGATTTTTACATAAGGCAATTTAATTACTGGTTGTAGCAGATGCCAGTCATGTTTATCTTCCTTCACTGGTCCTGATCCTCTATTACCAAAAGATTGTCAGGTAAAAATTTACAAAAATGGAAAAAAAATTTCTTTACAAAAATTTAAAAACAACTTTCATCTATTAGAATGAATCTTTCAAAGAATCTCCACTAGGATGGACCAGAGATTCAAAATGTAAAGACAAATCAACATCAACTTCGGGATGTTCATTATTAAATTATAATTCTCAAATTACCAATATCCAAAATTCACGAGTTTATAGACCATCATGTTCGCAATCTCGACGACCAATATTAAGAAAAGGACTTTGTTCACAGTGTCTTCCGGAATGTTGCTTTTGTCATACTACAGATAAATTTTGCAATTGCGCCTCTTCTGTTAGGGAACATTCACGAGATGAATTATCGGAATGTTCACGAGATCGTACATTTCCGAGAAATAAAATTAAGTCCTCAGAAAAATTAAATTGTCAATTACAAGAAGCAAATAAATGTTTATGCATAAAATGTAAACCATTAGCATCTACGCCTAGAAGATCATCCAAAGTCGATTCTGCTAAAACAAATTGTTGTAGAGAAGATTCAGATTCTTCTTCCAGTCGATCAAAATCAGCAACTCAATCGAAATCCTCTCGTCGTAAGATTTCTGATAATTTTTATGGAGAGAGTCACGCACCCCAAAGTCAACTCGATGGTCACAATAATAGTTCAGGAACAATGACAGGTCAGTTTCGATGTAAGAGGAGGAAACATATGATTTTTATTCAAAAATAAATAAAATTTAAAAAGTCCCCTGTGGGCAAAAAACCATGTTCGTTCTAAAAACGTTTTAAGGACGTTCTTAGAACGTTTCATGTCCGCCAAATAATGTTCTGGAACATTTTAAGAACATGGATGTTCAAATAATGTTCCAGAACATTATTTGTGACGCGATCTGAAGAAAAGGACCTTAGAAGCAAAAAATTATAGGTTACGTTTAGAAATTTTAAAGTGAAAATACACAAAGACGTTCAACTCGTAATGCAAACTAATGATATTTAGGTCTTCATTGCATCCAAAATATTCAATAAAAACTGATTTCAGTTTTACAAAAACAAAAATAAACTTTTAGTTCAAGTAAAACTATTGTAAACATAACCAATAATTCATTTGCTTCTAAGGTCCCTTTCTTCAGATCGCGTCACATTTGGTGGACATGAAACGTTCTAAAAATGTTTTTAGAAAGAACATGGTTTTTTGCCCACAGGGTCTTTTTCTTTTTTTAAGTATTTGCTTTCTCATGCAAAAAATGTCCTCATCTTGGTGTTTTATTTATATAAATAAGAAAATAATTTATTTATTTATGACTAAAGGTAGGTAGAGGAGATGACGATCTACTGATTAAAAAATCCAAACGGGGTAATGGGAGATATTTTATATATTTCGCTTCTCTACTAATTCTTGTTGCTGTATTTTGGGCCTCTGGTTTTGCCTTCTATCATCACTACTATAAACGTCGCAAAAGAATATGTGGCTAATTAAAACAGTTTTTACTAGTGTAATTATTTCTATAATCAAATTGTTAATACAAAATTTAATTAAATATATACAACAAATTTTACAGAAGTAATGAAAGACGATTCTTGTTGCTGTTGTAATTTGAAAATTAGTGAAAACAGGTAAAATGCCAAACACAGAAAAAACTGTAAACTGAAATTTAAAATATATTCGTGGCGTATATTTAAGAATATTTTATATTTAAATGAAGTATCTTATTTTAAGAATAATATATATACTACTCTCTAAATCTGAATTAGTAAAAAAGTTTATTAATTTGAATTAGTGACTCAATTTTTGCTTCTAAATGAGTAAAATTTTACTAATTATTAGTAAATTTAACTAACAATTAGTAAAATTTAACTAATTCTAAAGCAAAAAGTGAGTCACTAATTTAAATTAGTAAACATTTTTACTAATTCAGATTTAGAGAGAAAGTTTAAGTATAAAATATTCTTAAATATGCGCCACGAATATATTCTTAATTTCAGTTTACGTTTTTTTCTGTGAATACTGCTGATACACGGAGAAAAATGGAAAAACAAATAAAGTAACTTTTACTACTATAAAAGTAAAACCGGACCTATCCGAAGTTTCTGCGCATTTCTGGCAATTTTTTGCTCCAGAAATAGTAAAATTTACTATTTCCTGAATAGTTTTTACTATTTCTGGAGTAAAAATTGCCAAATGCGCAGAAACTTCGAACAGTTCCGGTTTTACTTTTATAGTAGTAGTAATTACTTTATTTCACCGAAAAAAAATATTCTGAAATTTAGAATATACACTGTAAAAAAATTAGGGAGTTAACGTTACTGGGAGTTGGGAGTTAAATTTTTCGAGTTAAAAATCAACACAAAAAAGGAGTTAGTAATTAAATTAACTCCTTAAAACCAACTCCCTATAGGCATAAAATTAACTCGAAAAGCATTAACTCCCTTCGCTTCAACTCCAAAAGGGTGGGACTTTTATAGCATCCCCTAGGGAGTTGAAATTCAACTCCTTTTTTTTACAGTATATGCTTGGTATCTATTTTAGAATACTTTATACTTAAATTCAGTATGTAATACTCTTAATATTAGAATATATTCTTCGTACTTAGGACATATTCTAAATGCTAAGAATATATACTGAATACTAAGAATATATTCTAATTTTAAGAATATTACATACTGAAATTAATTTTAGAATACTTTTTTTTCGTTGTTATTTTTCCTTTTTTTCGTATTTGAGGCAGTTTACGTGTAATGTCCTGAATTAAAAAATTGATTATAGAAAATCAAGGTCAAAATTCAAAAATTTTAAAAACGAAATTCACCATTGGAAAGAGCATGAAAAAACCTTCAAAAAAACATACCTGCCAAAATTTTTTCTATTGCATTTATAGACAGAAAAAATTCAAATAGTAGGCGGTGTCAAGGAAAACTGATCAAATTGACCCCCTTCTATCTCCCCAAAAATTTCAAAAAAGTCAAAAATATTTTTGGGGATATTTTACTATCAGGTAGAACAACAATTTCTCCCAAGTTTCACTTTTTTCGAGAAATCAATTTTTTAACTCAGGACATTACGCACATAAAATGCCTCAAATGCGCATCAATATAATAATTTATTTATGCATTCTTGAATTGCAGAAAAGAATTTATTAAACAACAATGTCAAAATTCATTTTTACCAAAAAATTGTTTTCAATGTCCAATTTGTTCGTCAGTACTTTCATCTGTTGCATGGAAATACCCACCAATTAATTCATCGAAATCTAATTTCAAGACGGAAAATAATTTAAAATTCAACTGCAAAAATATTTTGCCTAATAATGATTCTTTACATCATGAGAATTCAAATTTCGATTTAAATTCGTCAATTAGTTTTAATGAATCTTGCAAAATCGAAGAGAAATGTAAGGAAAAAGTGAAATTTCCAAAACAGTATAAAAGTGAAGAGAAAATAACTTTTAGAAATCCTCCGTTGAATATTGGAAATTGTCTGCCAATGGATTCGAATAGAAATCAATATAACGCAAAAGAAATCGTATCGTGTGTGAAAGATTGTAAGCGTTATAAGAAAAAACAAAATAAAAAGCAAGTTTCTTGTAAATTCAAGTTGGATCAAAAAGAAGATATTTTTAAATCAAAACCTCATTTATCTAAAGCTAATAACAATCACTTAAATTCCTCTCAAAATACAGATGAAAAAATTAACAAAGAAAACAATAATTGTGAATTGTGTAATAATGACAATTTAATTGAATCTTCAAGCAATGAATGTGTTAACTCAATAAAAGATTAAATTAACCAAAAATAAATTGCAATTAGAAAAAATTAATAATAAAATAATGTGAAATATTTGTTTGAAAAATAAAAATTTTTGTCTGAAAGAAATTCTTTTTTTTAAATAAACTAATTGTTTATAAACTTAAAACAAATGTAATGTTGAGTTTTGAAAAATAATTGTAAGTATAATTATTATATTCCAAAATAAATTATTGTAGAAAATTTCTAAAATAAAGAGGAAGTAATTTGAAATTGACCCATATTTTAGATATTTCAAAAAGGATTTCCTTATCTTTGGCTCGAATTCATTAATAGTAGGCGTACATCTTCTCGTCTCTTTATTTTTGCAATTCTATCTTCAGTGAGGCGAGAACTTTGGAAGTACCATCATGTTGAATTTAGTGGTGTTTCTCGTGCTGTGCCTAAACTACATCGAACAACCATTAGCTGAAGAGCTTGATGGTTGTGCAATATGTGGAGATTATAAGTATGTCTACATTGTATTGCATATAATTAACCACTTTCTCAGATTGTTCATTATTTTTGTCAAAAGATTTTTAAAAATAACATTTTCTTTTATTATTTACATAAATTTTTAAGCCTTTTATTTATATTTGAAAAGAATTAAATTAATTTAATTAATAAAAATATACAGATGTCCTGAAAATCCAGAAAGATGTTTATTGGGTGTTGTAAACGATGTTTGTGGCTGCTGTCCCGATGGAGTCTGTGCAAAAATGAGTGGTGAAGCCTGTTGGAATTCGAGTATTTCTCAGTTATCATTTGAAAGGCGTAATGAAGGCCTTTGCGCTGAGAATTATTCGTGTCAATTGCGTTTAGATCTTCAAGCCGAGGTACACTCAGAAGTTGATCGTATTTTAATTAAAATTCACTAGAGGCTGAAAAAAAATTTTGTTAACGAAGAGAAATATTTATTCACTTTTATACCGTAACGAATTTATTATTTCCTCATTTTTTTTTTTATTACAAATATAAGATCAAAAAGATGAAAACCAGCTTGAAAAATTACATAATTTTAACCAGCAAACAAATCAAGTTTATTCGCAATTTGAAATTATTTTCAAAACATTCTTTTTTATAATGAAATTAAAATTTATTTTTTCATAAAAGAAACTAGAGCGATTATGGTTTTTCTCAATTGCAACACCTACAGTCATAAAATAAAAATGAGAAAAAAAATTAACATGGTCAGTTTATTAAAATCGTGTCGCTGACCTGTTTAAAACTCAGCTTTATTTCTGTGGGACAATTGACATCAATCTTGCAATTAAAGATAGTTGAAGTCACTTAATTGACAAATTCGCGAGGACGAATAAAGACGCAAAACTAGATTTTTCTTGGAAAATTTTAAATGAAATTGAAAACACAAAATTATTCATGTAAATGAAAAAAAAAAAAATTCTAATTATTTTTAATGAATTGAAAAAAAAAATATTACATATAGGATGTTCCAGAAGCGATTTGCGTTTGTAAAGATCGATCACCAGCGTGTGGCAGTAATAATGAGACATATGAGACTCCCTGTGCTTTAAATGAAGAAATAATGAGATCTAAAAATTCAAATTTAAAACTTGATCATCTTGGACCTTGTCCAAGTCGGCCTTGGATTGATTCTGCGACGAGGAATATTTCTGGTGTTTTTGGTACAAGAGTGGTACTCAGCTGTGAAGCTGAAGGATTTCCGGTGCCTGAGATTTTTTGGGAATTTCACTCAGAGGATGGGCTCACAGTTTTAAAATTGCCCAGTAATTTCTTCTTTATTTCATTTTCTAAAGATAATTTCTTTTTTTTCTAAATGCGCTTTAAAAAAAGTTTAACAAAAATGCATGAAAAATATTTTTGAAATGAATGTTGATTTTGCAATAATATTTTTTCATTGAAAATTTTAGATGATGATCACGATGGAGTCGTAAAAACAAAAGATGGTCCAGAACCAAGAATGCGAACATCTTGGATGCAATTGTCACATTTAAATAAAACTCACATTGGAACGTATTATTGCATCGCTGCTAATTCTGTTGGTGAAGCGAGTATTTCTTCGTTTCTTTCTATTATATAATAGTCCTTTTTTTTAACGAAAAATGTTCTTTATTGATATACATTTATTTATAAATGATCGACATATTATTATTTATTTATAAATACCTATTCGTCTTATATAAAAATTTTGTATACTTTTGCTTATGCATTTATTCTTAGACTTATATTATATTTGAAGGACTAAATATTCAAATTAAAAGTTATTTCTTTTTTTTTTGGATATATAAATAAATTTTCTTATATGAAATCACTAAATTTTCCCACGTATCTTTTACCATCCATCATCTGAAGGAGGTGGTCTAAAAAAAAATAATATTTTTATTTGTAATTTTTAATTATTGTATTTCTAATAAGTAAACTTGGTTGTATCTTTTTCTATTGCAACGTTTTGATGCACATAAGTTATATCAAAAAGAGATCGTTTTGTGTATCATTTTTAGAAATGATACGCGGTCTCATTTTTTGATGAAAAAAATTTAATCAATTTATATCAATCATGGCCGAATTGAATCGACTCAAAATTAAACGAATTTTTTTCAGATATTTTGGTAATAGTACAATTGCCGAGACCATTTCACTATTTAATTTGAAAATGAAAATAACAGAAAATCAAAGACAATGTGCAATTCGATAATTAAAAAGTGACAGCTTATAAACATAACCTAAAATGCATGAGAAAATTTTGTCGATAAAATCAATATAGCCGAGCTTTTTAGAAGGTAGATGGCAGTTTTGCTTTTTATAAAAACGATTCAGAAAAAATTTAAAGAAAGAAAATAGATGAGTGCTGCCATCTACCTTTTAAAAAGCTCGTCTATACCCAACCAAAAATTTCAGTATTATACCAGAGTTAACTACTGGCGCAGTACTGGTTTAGTATTGGCTGCCGAGGCTGGGCAGTCTGTACTGAAACAGTACTGGTATTTTCATTGTATCAGTACTGGTGCAGTACCACCCTTCCAGTACTGGCAAACCAGTACTAAGCCGATATTGAGCCAGTACTGGCTCAAATAGATTTTCTTTTTGATTAATACTAGTTTACAAAAAGTTCTAGAGTGAACTTAATGAATCTTTTTGTTTAAATATTTTGTTTATAAAAATTTGTTCACTTTGATTTTATTTTTTGAAAATTAAAAGGGTATTTTATTTTGTTCTTTTTGTGGGTAAAATTATTTAAACAAAAAGTTTCCTGAAACCAATTTCAAAACATATTGCAAATTTTTTTTATTGTTTTCAGATATGCAATAAACCAAAAAAAAATTTTAAACGATCAAACTAAAAATAAATAAAATTTTTTATTAAAAAAATTAATAATTTTTAAAATAAAAATTTTAAAAAATTTTCTTGACAACACTTGTTAAAAATTAAAAAACAACTTTTATTTTCTTAAAAAAGTTTTTCAAAAATTTATTTTAATGCAAATAATTAAAGTGAATAATAAAATAATTAAATAGCTAATTGTATAATTATATACACTATAATTATTTTATAAACATTTTTATATATATTTTTTTTGATTTTTTAAAATAATAATTTGCAATGTATATATTATACTTAATAAGGAATAAAAATTCTTGGTGTTTTCGATTTTATATATAATAAAATATTAATTAGTTAGTTGGCTGATTTAATTAATATTTAATTTGTGTTGGGTTACTAAAAATTTCATACACTTTTTCCTAAGTATACCAAAAAAGTATTACCTGAAGTGAAACTTATCTCTGTTACAGTTAAAGCTTTCTTTTTGTATACAATAAATAACAAAACTACCATTACTCAGCCAGTACTGAACCAGTAGTGGTTACCAGTACTGGTGCCAACTCTGGCAGCCAATACTGGTAAAATGTAATCATCCCAAAGTTACGCCAACTCTGGCGCCAATACTGGGTGCCAGTACTGCGCCAACACTTGTCAGTACTGCGCCAGTACTGCGCCATTAGTAAATTTTTGATTGGGTATTGATTTTATCGATAAATTTTTTCTCATGCATTTTAGGTTATGTTTATAAGCTGTCACTTTTTAATTATCGAATTGCAAATTGTCTTTGATTTTCTGTTATTTTCATTTTCAAATTAAATAGTGAAATAGTCTCCGCAATTGTACTATTACCAAAATATCTGAAAAAAATTCGTTTAATTTTGAGTCGATTCAATTCGGCCATGATTGATATAAATTGATTAAATTTTTTTCATCAAAAAATGAGACCGCGTATCATTTCTAAAAATGATACACAAAACGATCTCTTTTTGATATAACTTATGTGCATCAAAACGTTGCAAAGATTTGATGCAATTTTTGGTCTCAATTTGATACTTTTAGGAAAACTGTATTTTATACTCACTCTGGTGTGCGCCAAGTACCTCGATCTATAATCACCGTATCAGGACTTTCCCTAAAAATAAAAGTATTTAGTAAATTTATAATAAAAATTGTGTTAATTTACAAAACTTACATTCTCTGAGGTATTAATTGTGATTTTTTATCAAAAGACTCTTTTTTATATGTCGCAGCAAGAAAATGAGCTGTCGGCGTGCTTGCCATTAATGTCATGGCACAAATGAAAACAGCAAACCAAAATCCGTTCTTTATTAAAAGAGAAAATAAATTATAAATTTTTTTATTAATTAACATCTTTTATAGAAAAGTAGAATTTACCAAAGGTCCTAAAATATGCTGACACACAAGGAGTTGTACTCCATGAAGAATATCCCAGAGAGGCCTACATTTAGCAATTCCGTTTCCCATTTCCAAAAGGACGTGGCCGCGCCATTGATCCAAATAACCGACTAATCTCTCCACGTACGACTTTGTTTTCTGTCATTTTACAAAGAAATTGTTATAAAATTTGATTATTTCTATAAAATTTAAATGAATAAAAAAAAAAAATACATGCCAATTGAGCAATTTTTATCCCTTGATTGTCTATATAATATTGAATTGTTTTCAGGTGTGAAATTGATTGATTCACTTGTCGCTGAAGGGGTTGTAATTGCAATTGTAATCCAGCCAATTGATAAACAAGTTCATCCTGAATTTTCATTAAAGGTTTTACTCTTCTCAATAATAATTCTCGCATTGAAGTGCTAATACTTTGTAGATCTCTTGCTACTTTTCTATCACTTAATTGCCTCGCTACATTGCTCACTTGATCCGAAAGGGCATTTAAATCTTTATTTAAAATTGGTCCTTGAATCTATAAAAGTCAAATTTTAACATAATTTTAATTATTATGTATATAGATATTCTTACCATGATTCTGTGTTCAGTAAGATTTGAACTGCAAGCGTAAAATAAATTTTGCAATCGATGTTGTAAACTTGGTGTTAAAATTCGCAGTCCCTTAAGATCAACTCTCAATTTAGAAAATGCCCGTGATAATCCGGTCCAAGTCCAATGAGCCGTGAGTTGGTCAAGTTTTATCGAACTACCCAATTGGAATGCTGGATAAGCGGCTTCGTTTTGCTGACATTTTCTACTTTGGCATAAAAAGAAAATAAATTTTTTTTTTTTTCTAATTATTTCTCGCAAAATTTCTAACACTACTCACTCAAAGAGGTCCTTTAAAGGTACACTCATTCTCCTTCCAAGAAATGCTTGAGTTTCTAAAATTGCCTCCATCGTCCGATATTCAGGATCATAAAGAGGTCGACATAGAAGCATTTCAGCGTGACTCGACAAAGCCAAAGCACACATTATGACCAACCACAGTCCAATTGAAATTATACAGCTGAATAATACCGCACTGTTTTGACACATGTATATTAATTATTTCATCGTGACTGTGATAAATGATAACATCCGGTAATGGTTTACTTTTTCAAGTAATAAATTATAATAAATTCATTTAATTTTATATTTATTATTTATATGCGGAAAAATTTTTAAAAGATAATCTCGAATTTTTACTTACCATAATAGTGTAGTTCTCACTCTATTTTCCGATGTTCCACAACGACAGCAAATCGCCCCCAACAGTAACGACCATACAAGCAAGACACACATTACTGAACCTGTGTGTTTCGAAAACCAAACGAGTAATTTATTATCACTCTTCTTTCTACTCCATTTTCTACTTTAAAACGCTCAACATCTCTAACTCGAGAACATCTTTCAATATTGAAAGAGAAAAAGAAGATTTATCAATCTTTTCTTACTCTTTTCTCCGCAGTTCCACTTTTCATTTAACTTGTACACTTTTTTATATTACTTCAAGTTAAAATATCTTCATTGTTCAAATTGAAAAGTTATATTTGTAATAACCAAGCGAAAATTTATTAAAAATGAAGAAAAACTTTTTTATAGTATAACACGGAATATTCCATTCATATTCCGGGAATATTCCAGGAATATTGATGGAATGTTCCATTGGAATATTTGGGGAATATTTCGTTGGAATATTGGAGGAATATTCCATCATAATATTGAATGAATATTTAATGCAAACATTGTACGAATATTTTTTAATAATGAAAAATCAAATTATTATTACTGATTATATCCCTAATAACACAAGATATCTTGGGATATATTGATAATATCCCGCAAATATCCTAGGGATGTCCTATGGATATGAAAAGGATCTCTTAAGGATATCCAAAAAAGCGGCGGTTTGGATATCCTTTGGAGATCCCATGGATATCTTAGGATGTCTACAGGATATCTTCTGGATATCTCTATAGACTTTCATAAATGTCCTCCAGATATCCCATAGATATCGTCAGGATATCCCACAGATATTTTCAGGATATTCTCAGTATATCTTCTGGATGTCAAGAAGTTATTCTCAGGATACTGTTTTTAAAGTCATTATGAGACTACGAGTGAGAATATTCTGTGAATTAAATTTTATATAAATAAAATAAAATGAAACTTGTTTTTCGAGAAAGTTGTTTAATTTGAAAAATTATTAACTAATTTTTTTCTCATTCGTGATTCATTCCTTTATTCATATGCTTTTAAAACTTTGAAAAATGCGTTTCAAATCTTCATTTTAAATAAATTAGAAGCTCATAAGATTTTTGTTTTTATTATATTATTATTCATTATATTAGCTTAACAATTTTAACCTTTAAAAATATATGTTGAGATATTAAATATCCCGTGAATATCCTAAGAATATCCCACGGATATCCTGAGGATATCCCATGGATATCCTGCGATTTAATAATATCCAATAGATATTTTGTGGATGTCTTAGGGATATCATGTGGATGTCCTATGGATGTCCCACAAACCGGCGGTGTGGATATCCCAAGATATCCTGGGGACCATTCTAGGATATCGACCATTGATATGGATATCCTAGGGATATCCTTTTGTTATGAGGGATAATGTTTCTACCTTCTACTTATCAAATTTTTTAATTTTGTCTTCATTGAAACAAAATACGTTCAGTTATGTATTTATATAAATTAATTTTGAAACAATACAAAAATGGTTTTTAAATTAAAATTTACAAATATAATTGATTAACTTTTGATAAATTTCAAATGCGTAGTCCGAAAAAAATATTTGTACAATGTTTAAATTAAATATTCCCTCAATATTCTGATGAAATATTCCTTTAATATTTCAATGAAACATTCCATCAATATTCCAATGCAATATTCCCTCAATATTTCAGTGGAATATTCTGAAGGTTGGACCTTTTGTAATATTGCAATGAATATTCCCGGAATGTGAATGGAATATTCCGTGTTATAGGAGGAATTATTTAAAATATTTTTAAAATTATAACTTACCAATACCAACGAGCCATCTCATTTGTTCAAAAACAGTTATGTAAGGAATAATTTGATTGGCAATGTTGCGAGTTGAGTCTAATTGTTTCGAGAGTCCAGTACTGCTCGTTTCAATATTTCGTGCCTCGTCGAAAATCTTGGCACGTATGCCATTAATCTCCCGACGTATTTCTGCAAAAAGAAATATCACATTTACACTCATCAAGATAACTTGTTCTATACATTTATTAAGTATTCGAAAGAAATTTATTAGCGATTTTTAAAGTATTTGCAAAAAATTAATTACTAAGTAATATCGGGGCGGATGATTATTCCATAATGTGAATTATTTAGAAATTTCATTTTGTAGAATTTTACTTTATTTGAATTTTTGTTTTTTGGATTAATGTTTAATAGAATTTAAATTGACTAGAATTTATATTTAACAGAATTTCTATGTAATTAAATTTTTATTTAACAGAACATTCTTTCAACATAATTTCCATTTAGCACACTTTTTATTCAAAAGAATTTTTCTTAACACGAATTTTTATTTATCAGAATTTTTATTAAACAGAATTGAGTCGAATTTTTAAATGCCAGAATTTTCATTAAACCAAATCTTCATTTGTCCAAATTTTTATTAATACAAAATGTTATTTAATAGAAATCTTAAAAGTTAGAATTTTCATTTATCCTACATTGCAAATGGTCGAATAATCAAATGGCAGAAATATTTCGGCGACAATTTTAAAACTGACCGATCAGAAATTGTCAAGACAATTGTGATTGGTCAATTTTAAAATTGGCGTCGAAATTTTTCTGCCGTTTGATTATTCAACCATTTGCAATGTAGGATAAATGAAAATCCTAAGTTTTAAGATTTCTATTAAATGACATTTTGTGTTAATAAAAATTTGGACAAATGAAGATTTGGTTTAATGAAGATTCTGGCATTTAAAAATTCGACTCAGACGAAATTCTGTTTAATAAGAATTCTGATAAATAAAAATTCGTGTTAAGAAAAATTCTTTTGAATAAAAAGTGTGCTAAATGGAAATTATGTTGAAAGAATTTTCTGTTAAATAAAAATTTGATTACATAGAAATTTTGTTAAATATAAATTTTAGTTAATTTAAATTCTATTAAACATTAATTCAAAAAACACAAATTCGAATAAAGTAAAATTCTATAAAATAAAATTTCTAAATGATTCACATTATGGATTAATCATACGTCCCGTAATATCAATCTCTTTTAATTTGAATTAGTGAAAAGTGAGCTACTAATTCACATTAGTAAGAATTTTTACTAATTTTTAGTAAAATATTACTATTTGATTTAGTAGTTTAAAATTTTTTTTACTAAAGTTTTAGTAAATAGTGACTAAAGATTAGTGAAAATTTTGACTAATTTAAATTAGTAGATCACTTTTGACTAATTCAAATTTAGAGAGATAGAAGTGAAATTTTCAATTTCACAATTTTTTTTTATTTATTTTACAAGAAATTGACCTCATTTTTTTCCCCTAATAAAAACAACATTTTTATGAATTTTGTCGCTTGTCACCTTTTTTTGACGATGTGTGAGTTTGCAAGGATAAAGTAAAGAGTGGGATTAGAAAAAGTCGATATTTGTCAACATTGGACAATCACATTTACAACATCAATCAAATATCACACATCGAGGGTTCTAATGGAAAGTTTATTTAGTTACTGAATATTGTTTACTTCAACTAAATTTGTGGGATTTCGTCACCGAGGAAATTTTTTCTATATCTAACAAAAGTGATAGAAATAAATTCATGTGCAGAATAATTTATTTAAATAATTTTTGTGCTCACATTTATCAATTTTGTTTTGTATAAAATATGGAAAAACTAAATTTTTGAATTCAAAAGAATAATAAACAAACATTAAAATTTTTTGATATTGCCTAACGGCCCATTGCACCCGAGAAGTTTAAAATCGGTTATCCGAGAGTGTTTGCCAAGTTTCTTTAAGTTTTACACTGTCCTGTCTGTTGACCCATTTCAAAAGTTACCGTGCTCTCGTAACCCGACCTCGTTTCTCTCTAGGTATTGTTACATCATTGTAATATGAATATATAATTATTTATTATAATTAAAGAATAAAATTACAAAGCAAATAATTTGATATCAAAAATTTATTTATGATTCTTAAATTTATTGACTTACGATTTCGAGCATCTAACGTTATTCTTGAAACATGATTAGGAACATAGAGATATTCTCCTCGAGCTTGACGTGCAGCTTCCGTCAAATTTTCCCCAGTCGAAGCTTTTAATCTTAATAGTCGATCATCTCTCACAAGCTATTTAAAAAGAAAGAAAGAAATAATTAATTTTATCAAAAAAATTGAAATTTTTAAAAAATTAAGAATTTCACTAAAATAAAAGTTTATCTCAAAATTTTTGTTTCGAGAAAATTTTCTATTGTCACATATAAGGAGAACGAAACAAGAATTACGAGACAAAAATAGGCCAAGTTTCTTTGGAAAAAAAGTCTATTTTCCTCGACCTAAATAATCTCGTCGATTGCCAGGTAAAGGAAATAAAGTTAACTTTTTTTTTTTTTTTTATTTGCAGCAAACCTTCGTTTAGTGCAAGTTTTTAATCCAACCCTATAATTGGCTTTGTTGCCATTTCGTACTACTGTATCACATTTTATCCGAGAAAATGTACAAATCTTTTATTAACAGTTTAAAATCAAAAGTTGATTTGTAAAAGAAAAATTTGAATCTTCATTAAGGGGAGTCCTTCATTTTGAATCCTTTACATTTTAATGATCTTAGGAAGTTATATTTTTCTTCTTGCATCATTTGGGTCAAAAAAACATACAAAAATAAAATTTTAATTTTTAACCATTTTTCATTGCCAATTTTTTTCCACACTTTTTTAATGATTCTTTAGAATCATGGATTTTCAAAAAATAAAAATTCTAAAATGGTCAAAAATTAAAATTTTCTTTTTTTGACCACGTTATATGTTTTTAGGACACAAATAATCCCAACCAAAAATTTCAGTATTATACCAGAGTTAACTACTGGTGCAGTACTGGTTCAGTATTGGCTGCCGAGACTGGGCAGTCTGTACTGGTGCAGTACCAACCTCCCAGTACTGTCAAACCAGTACTGAGCCGATATTGAGCCAGTACTGGTTCAAATAGATTTTCTTTTTGATTACTACTAGTTTACAAAAAGTTCTAGAGTGAACCTGATGAATCTTTTTTTTAAATATTTTGTTTATAAAAATTTTTTCACTTTGATTTTATTTTTGAAAATTAAAAGGTTTTTTATTTTCCTTTTTTATTGGTTAAAATTATTTAAACAAAAAGTTTCCTGAGACTAATTCCAAAACATTTTGCAAGTATTTTTTATTGTTTTCAGATATGTAATAGTGCAATTCCAGGTGAGATTTTGACTTTTTCGGAGTAGGTTAACCGATTGCAATGAAACTTTGGAATTTTGTTATATATAGTAAGACTAATCTATAACGTAAATTTCAGCTTAAAATATTTGTTAGTTTACAAGATAGTATAAACAATTGCAATTTCTGCTAGTTGACGTGCAGACGACATTGCGCACGCAGCATTCTCACGTAGCCAATTTAGTCCACGAATCACGTCAGCTGGTTACAGGAGAATGCTGCGTGCGCAATGTCGTCTGCACGTCAACTACCAGAAATCGCAATTGTTTATACTCGTAAATTATTAAAATTAACCAAGTTAAACTTGCATTTACAATTGGATTCCTTTGGAACATTAAAGAAAACACTGGTAAGATCATTTTAGCGTTTAAGTGATTGAACTTTAGATTGTCGCGTGAAATTTATTCAATTATTATTTAATAATTTTTTTAGTTGTAAAATTATAAAAAATTGTTCTGAAAGAGATTTATTTCTCTCATTTTCCTTGACATTTTAAAAAAAAGTAGACCTCAATCCGATTATTAGAACGGAAGATATAGCAGTTTAAAATTTTTTGTTATTATTGCAAATCTCGTAAACTAACAAATATTTTAAGCTGAAATTTACGTTATAGATTAGTCTTACTATATATAACAAAATTCCAAAGTTTCATTGCAATCGGTTAACCTACTCCGAAAAAGTCAAAATCTCACCTGGAATCGCACAATAAACCAAAAGAAATTTTAAACGATCAAACTAAAAATAAATAAATTTTTTTGTAAAAAAATTACTAATTTTTAAAATAAAAATTTAAAAAAATTTCTTGACAACACTTGTTAAAAATTAAAAAACAATTTTTATTTTCTTAAAAAAGTTTTTCAAAAATTTATTTTGATGCAAATAATTAATGTGAATAATAAAGTGTGACCTGGACAGTTAAAAGGGACCTTTTGTCCGAAAAAATCGATTTTTTATTGATTGGTGATTCTGATAGAGAAAACTTTTTTCTATCAGAATCACCAATCAATAAAAAATTAATTTTTTCGGACAAATGGTCCCTTTTAACTGTCCAGGTCACAAATAATTCAATAGCTAATTGTATAATTATATACATTATAATTATTTTATAAAGATTTTTATTTTTATTGAACTGTTTTTATATATTATAAAAACTTTGGTTTTATAATAAACATATTTTTATATTTATTTTTTGATTTTTTAAAATAATAATTTGCAATATACATATATTATAAGAAAGAATAAAAATTCTTGGTGTTTTCGATTTCATATATAATAAAATATTAATTAGTTAGTTGACTAATTTAATTAATATTTAATTTGTGTTGGGTTACTAAAAATTTCACACACTTTTCCCTAAGTACTTATATCAAAAAAGTATTACCTGGAGTGAAACTTATCTCTGTTACAGTTAAAGCTTTCTTTTCGTATACAATAAATTACAAAACTGCCAGTACTCAGCCAGTACTGAACCAGCAGTGGTTACCAGTACTGGTGCCAACTCTGGCAGGCAATACTGGTAAAATGTTATCATCTCAAAGTTACGCCAACTCTGGCGCCAACACTTGTCAGTACTGCGCCAGTACTGCGCCATTAGTAAATTTTTGATTGGGATATGCAAGAAAAAAATATAACCCCGTCTAATTATTTTTAGTAGGTCAAAATAAAGGTGGTGACTCCCCAAAGAAGAAATAATTTTTTACTGAGTATAGATTTACTTTCGGTTTTTTTGAAACATTTCTTAAAACTCGAATGGGATTACCTAACATATTCCTTGTACAAAGCTCGCCGTCTCATCCGGAAGCTTATAGATATATATATAAGGTTTTGGGGGTAAGGCAAGAGCTAAGCTACAAAAGGACAGTGACTCCTTCGTCTTAATTAAGGGATGAAAGGGGTTGAATAATTGTCTCCGGATTGTTCACCCGTTCGAGTCGCAGGGCCAGATTCAAACCCGAAGGATTCAGAATTGCACATAAGGAACGATCCTGCTGAGGACATCCCTTTGCTGTAACCTCCAATTCTCGACGGATATCATCGGCTTCTCGACTCAATTCAATTCCAAGATTTCGTGCTCGCTCTCCTTCTTTCAATAAGGTGGCAGTTCTTGTTGAGAGTTCGTGTGTCGCTGAAAAATTTATAACAAAACTTTATATAAACCATTTTCAAAAAAGTTTTTCTTCACACCACATGAAAAATGTATTTACGAAATTTATTTATGTGTGGTGGATTCAACTCTCAAGTAGGGTATAAATATTTCGTGACAATCGAGAAAAATAATAATGTAAATTCGTTAAAGCTCTAGTGGAGAATGGGAAAGAGTGCTCTATCAGGAACCACGGGCACAAAGTCTAATGCACTTAATATGCAGTTAGTTAACTTAGAGTTTCAGTCAAGGGAGGGTCACTTAACATAGATACCAACACATCACTTCTATGTACAAATTTTACACTTTTTACATTTTTCCGAATTTTTTATAAGAATTTAAAAAATATTTATTTATACATTTTTTTATAATTCATTTAGTAATTTATGGAAAATTATACAGGCTTCTCATATGCTGTGGTTAATAAAATGTTTAAACTCAATAGTTCTCTCTCAGAGAGTCGACATCGTCTGACTGCATCCGGACGAAACTACTTGAGGTAGAGGGACTCTAATAAAGGTTTCTCTAATCTGTTACTGCTGTTTAATTTCTGCAGTTGTCAGTTGGTAGCTTGTGCAATTTAGAATTTCATATTATCAACGAAATTGCTTTACACTACAAGAAACACATATGGCAATACTAATACTTTAAAAAACTTTTTAAAAATTTTAATTTATATAAACTGAAAAATTAAAAAAAAATTTACCATTTGCTACATCTAAGAGAGCATCTAGTGCCACATCTAGCCCTGTTTCGTACGCAAGTTCTTTTTGAACAGGTTTTCCCAGTAAATCTTCAACGTCTGAAAGAAAGTTTATATTTAAAAATTATTTTACATTTAAAAAGAAAGCTAACATTTTAAAACGCTTAGAAAAATTTTCACTACTCTCTAAATCTGAATTAGTGAAAAGTGAGCTACTAATTTAAATTACTAAGAATTTTCACTAATTTTTAGTAACTTTTTACTAAAACTTTAGAAAAAAAATTTTAAACTACTAAATCAAATATTAATATTTTACACGCATACTCTCTAAATCTGAATTAGTAGTTTTCTACTAATGAAAGAGTGCATTAGTAACAGTTTTGACTAATTTTTAGTAAAAAAACTACTAATTGCAAGTAGAAAACTACTAATTTATGGAGTAAATCGTATTTTTTACTATTTCAAATTAGTAAGCCGATTTACTCCAAGAAATAGTAGTTTTCTACTACTCTATAAATGTGAATTAGTAAAAATGTTTACTAATTTGAATTAGTGACTCACTTTTTGTTACTAAATTAGTGTAATTTTACTAATTATTAGTAACTTTCACTAACAATTAGTAAAATTTAACTAATTCTAAAGCAAATTTATTAATTAATTCTAAGCAAATTTACTAATATAAATTAGTAAATATTTTTACTAATTCAGATTTAGAGAGTAGCAATTAGTAGTTTTCTATACTAAAAAAGAGTCAATACTGTTACTAATTCAATTGGTAAACGAATCCGCACTCTTTCATTAGCAGAAAACTACTAATTCAGATTTAGAGAGTAGCTAATATAGGGACAGCGAAAAAATTTGCTGTAGAGTCAAAAAAGTTTGCTGTGACAGTAAATTTTTAAAAAATTTAGACTAATATTGTTTATCACAGCAAACTTTTTCGTTGTCATAGCAAAAAATTTAGCTGTGGTGACTAATTTTTATAGATCCGATAGCAAACACCAGTTAGCACCTGTAAGCCTTTTTTTTCCATGTACTAAAAATTAGTAAAAATTTTTACTAATTTGCTCACTTTTCACTAATTCAAATTTAAAGAGTAGATTTAATATGCAACTATATAGTATCATGTTTCCTCAATGTATATATTTGAATAAATTATATCGCATTACTTCATTAAACTTTTAAATAATATGTCAAAAACTCATTTAAAAATTTAATGATGAAAAATCCTCTATTTTCCGGTTAATCGATCGAAAGCAATTTGAGTGCTCGCTCTGTAAAACTGGTTTCATCGATTTGGCTGATAATTTGTCTACACAAATAACATTTTCCGTTATCAGGCCATGATGCGCGTATATCATCTCCGATACAAAGTACTTTGCTTTCCACCATGTAAAATTGTACGATTTAGAAGCGCCGGTTATGCATTTCGACTACGTTTCAATCGCTCTTTGAAATTCCTCTGCTTTCAAAGCTTATATATATATATATATATATATATATATATATGCCATTCTAGAGAGATTTATAATAATTCAAACAGTGAACTTGCATTTTCCAATGTCTATTTTTTTATTGATGTTACGAAAGTAGATTTTTTTCATACGTTAAAATTACTTTATATTAGATAATTAATTACATAGTAAATATTTATCGGTATTTTCCATTCCGCGAACATTAAAGGAAAATGAAAATTTAATATAACAGGATTTTCAAAAAAAAAACATATTAATAAAAATATTTTAAAATTAATATTGAGGACGAATTTTATTGTGAATTTCAATTGGAACATAAATTGTATAGTAGATTATTAGCAGTCGATGATAGGTGTTACAAGCAGATAGCATTCATTAGCTGACCATATGTGTGCATTAGTTGATCATTGCCTTGAACTGCTTTACTGAATGGACAAAGCTTAACCTGTGCATTAACCTTTCATTAGGGTCTTAAGGGTTAATTCCTGACATCATTTAGGGTAGAATCTCCGAGAGCGGCATTAACGATACATAAATGCAATCTATAAACACACCTAAATTTCCATTTAAAAGACAATTCATCGATCTATAAAAAATTCAACAAAACAATTATTTGAATAATAATTTTCTTCGCATCAAAAAGAACATAAGTGCAAATATTTGCAAATGTCTAATCATTCGTAAAAAGTTTACATATAAATGAGTTCTTTTGAAGGGAAAATGAATAAATCCGATTTCGTAAAAGACTTGGGTGACGAGTTTGAAGTACAGAGAGAAAGAGAGAGAGAAGAAAAAAGAGATGTGCCTGCGACACTCTAAAAGAGAATATTTAAATTTGGAGGAGGATCGTGGAATCGAAGAAGAGAATAGCTCATTATGTCTTCCACTAGAACGAATTTTCCCCTCATTAAATATCTTGAGAGAATTTTTAACGCCGATTGGGAGTAACAGTTTTAATAACAGAATAGATAATTGATCACGGAAAATAAAGGTTCTCTCATTTAATATAATAGTGTTTGAATAACAGATAAATTGAATTATTTTCTAATTATAAAATTATTTTCATACGTAACTGTCTATATCGACTAAAATCGCTTCACTGGCCACGTCCAAACTTTGAGTGAGGCATTTTCTCAACTGAATGGTAGTGCCTGCATGATAATCCCCAAGATCTTGAAGAGCCGTCTCCACTACTACTGGGATTTTCTCAATCCCAGCTCCTACAGCTTCATTGCTGACAATCATGGTTATTATGCATACTCTAAAAGGCAAAAACTTTGTTTGTTAAAGTTAAATTGCTTGAAATTTGTTAAAATAAATAAATATTAATTTAGTGTTGGCGATACTGATGGAAGTGAGTGATAATTTGAAAATGGATAAGATGAGATAGCACTTAAACAACCTTAGACTATTCAAGTTAGGTGCAGCATAACCAAAGTACACTACTGAGGGGTTAGGGTAACTTGAGAGTTTCATACCCCATGATTAACACGAAGATAGTCAGAAGGAACGATAGGGCTCCAGGATGACGTGGTGGCTTATAATCTTGTTTGGTTGGACGGCATGCAAGCCAAAGTTCCGTACTCGGTGTTACGAACATCAACAAGCCGCAAATCCCTATCAAACTTATGAATGCGGCTTCCATATGTAATGACTGTCAATGGAAACATTAAAGCTAATTTATCGACTTCGAGCTCATTGAATGTCAAATGAATATTTCGTATTCTAATGCATTTATCATTATTATTGTTGCTCACCTGGGAGACTAACTTTGAGGCCGTTATTCGATGATCCACTGCGTCTTTCAGTATATCTGTCTTGCACATAATTCACGTGTATAATTATTCTAATTTGAATTGAGAAGATTATTACAGTCAAAAAAGTTCTACAGAATTTGACTAGAATTCTATTGAAATTTACTAGAACGATTCTAGGTATAGAATTTTTACAAGAATTCTATAAAATATTCTATATAGAATTTGGCTGGAATCATTCTATAGAATTTTCAAGAGGAACTATACAATAGCTATACAGGGGGTCACATATTCCGAATCCCACTTTCAAAATTCCGTATTTCAGATTCCATATTCCGGATCCCACTTTCAAAATTACGTATTTCAGATTCCACTTTCAAAATTCTGTATTAAACAGTTCACATTCCATATTCCACTTTCAAAATTCCGTATTCTGGATCCTATATTCCACATTCCGTATTCCACGTTCCAGATCCCACTTTGCGGATTCCATTTTCCACATTCCGGATTCTACTTTCAAAATGTCGGATGTGCAATCCGGAATTTTGAAAGTGGAATCCGAAATGTGAAATCCGGAATACGGAATATAAAAAGTGGAATCCGGAATGTGAAATTCGGAATGTGTAATCCGTAATGTGAGATACAAAATACGGAACGTGAAATGTGGAATCTGAAATACGGAATTTTGAAAATAGAATCCGGAATGTAGAATACGGAAATTGGAAAGTGAATACGGTATTTGGAATGTGGAATATGGAATGTGAAATGTGGAATCTAGAATTTTAAAAGTGTGATCCAGAAAAAGTAACGTAAAGTAAAATTTAAAGCATTTTTAGCAGTAATTTTACTTTAATCACTTACTACAAGTATGCTTTAACAATTTTGAACTGACTCTAAATCTGAATTAGTACCAATTTTAACTAATTTGAATAAGTTTCTAGCTTTTTGCTTTCGAATTAGTAGAAATTTATAATTAATTATTCGTAAACAAATTTTTTTACTAATAATTAATTAAATTTTACTCATTTAAAAACAAAAATTAAGTACTAATTCTAATCAGTTAAATTTTTTACTACTTTAGATATAAAAAGTGATGCACAGTAAATAAGCATTTTAAACAAAATATTCCCCAAAAAATTCGTTCGAAAAGTAGCACTTAGTTAAAAATTGATAAAGCACACTTGAAGTAAGTGGTTAAAGTAAAATCACTGCTAAAAATGCTTTAAATTTTACTGTAAAGCTATTGTATAGTTTCTCTTGAAAATGTAAATGCTATAGAATTCATGTAGAAATTCTATCGAACTTTTTTGACTAGGCAAAGAAAATTAAACATGTATTACCAACTGGCAAGTCATACGGTTGCACAAATGAAAGAAAGACTCTGAGAAAATCAAAAATAAAGAACCCCTTATCCAAGTGCAACATTGTCATTTTATAACGATCATCAAGAGGAAGTTTGGGAAAAGTTAATTTAATTCTATGCTCATTCCAGTCCTTTGGAACATTTCCCGTCTTCAAGTGAGAAATATTCGATGTCTTCTTAGCATCGTCGGACAACGTTTCCTGTAAGTCAACTTCACTCACGTTCAAAGGATAATATATCACAGAATCTTCTGTAGTGCTATTCAATGAGATCGTCGAGATATCGACCTCAAACAGATCCTGCGTTGCACATACGTTTAATATTCCCGCGATCAAAAGTATCGTTGCAAATCTCAAGTGAAACATTTTTAGCAATAAAAGTTTTCAATATATCGAAACCTACATAACAAATAATCTTTGTTAGGAAAAAATTTTGAATCTCTATCTGCAAACTGCATTAAACCAAATGAATTTATAAATTGTTAGATAGCCTTTTTCAAGCAAAGCCATTTGATTAAGTTTTCGACAATTTCAACCGATACATATATATATAATAATCGTAACTGACAACAATATTGAGCCGCGGTCACTAGCAGACTGTCATTTCGATGGTTCTTAAAGGCTTCCATGAAACCCCACAAAGCCAAGTGTTGTCGAACCCCGGAGACGCACAGGTGAAATTAACTAGGTTACTTACTACTTGGAGATTTGCATTTGACACTATTCTCAAAACATTCAGGTTAAATTAAATTATTTTCAAGTCTAATTGTTTTGCGAATTTTATATTATATTATCTACAATACAAGAGCAAAAATAAATTCAAATATAGGGTAAATGCACTAATTACGGTGCGATTCAAATCAAAACGCCTTTGAAATAGAAAATTCGAAATTTCTATTGTAGAAAGTCAATTATTAAACTAAAAAAAGCTGATGTTATTTAGATATTTAAAAAAAATTTTAACTTTATAAAAATCGATTATTTAAACAAATATGAGAAATTAAAACTAACACCATAATTTTCTATTACGGCGCGTTTGTATCAATTGATATTTTGAAGATACTTTGCTTACCGTAATTGAAGCCATAATCTTAAAAATGTTTCAATTACGGTGAGGGAAAAAATTTGATCTCAAATGTTTAAATGTGCATCTTTTTGCATCAAAAAAAGATTAAAATATAATTTTTTTAAATCATTTTACAATTTTTATATTAAATATAATAGTAATAATAGTTATTTTTTATGAAAGCGCCGTAATTAATGCACTTACCCTATAGAAGAATCGATTTTGTGCTTGGAAAAAAGAAAAGTTTAAAAAAATAATATAAACTTGGTTTTGGAATTTTTTTCATAAAATTAAGACATTTATGCTAAATGAAATGATACCATGTTTTTTTTCTTCTCTTTTAGAAACCCATCAGTGCATTTACTTGACAGTGATCTTACTTTTCTTTTACTGTCTTACCTTCTTTTATGTGTTTGGCTAGTACAATGAAAGTTAAACTATATCTATAACGTAAACCTGTAAAAATACTGGTAGTTCCTTGCGCATAAATCTTTTAAGTTTAGTTTTCATAATTGTAATTTATTGTATGATATAAAAAGTAGCAGTATTATTTATAACCTTATTTTTTAAAAACTCTATTAAATATTAATTGTGTTTTAGGTAAGATAAAAATAAACTTTGTCCAATTACTTATAGTAAGCACTTTTCATACACCCTTAAATAGGGTTGAATTAATGAAGTTTCTTTTCTTAACTTTAGGTATTTACCGAGATAGTACCTTGCGGCAAGCCTGCCACGCAATATTGCCAACTTTGCACGGCAAACTTGCCGCAAGCTTCAAATGTTCCACCAGACACAAGCTTGCATCTTATTGTGCAATCTTTCGGTAAGCTCACCATGCAAGGTTGGGTCAGGTGGGACATTTGAAGCTGGCAGTAAGCTTGCGGCAACTTTGCCGTGCAAGGTTGGCAATATTGCGCGGCAAGCTTACCGCAAGGTTTTACTGCAAGCTTGCGTGCTATCTGGGTAGAGTGGAAAAAAAATTTTACGCGATTTAAATGTAGTGTTACAAATACATTTAACTTGAATACATAACTTTAAAAGAAGTAGAATAAACTCAATTTTAAAACATTTTTGAGGAACGATAAATCAAGTGCAATTAAAGAAAAGTGATTAACTTAAACTGCGCGTTGCACTTACAGCTCGTTTGCTAGAGGGAAGAAAAGAAATACAGGTACACGGCGTTGATGAACTCAACCTCGTAAAAGAAGAGGAAACTATTTTAGAATTAAATGAAGAGATTGAACAAGATCATATACTATATATAGTAGCATAAAATTTATTAACCACTGTAAATGCAAACGATGTTGGTATGCACGTGTGCTTACTTGAAATCAGTTTACTATCTCATCAGTATTCTCAATATAGATATGATGAAAATTATGGGAGCAATTGATCCTTTCATACATAGAATAATGAAACAGTTTATCGCTTTGTTATACAATACAATAGTACATTTATATATTTTTTATAACTATATTACTATTTTCGAGTAGAAAAATTTATCGTTCATATATTAATTTACACACTTTCCAAGAATAATTATTAATTACACTTAGAGGAACAATTTATTTGTTTCAAAGCTAATTATTCCAAATATATTTTTATTGGATTATAATTTGTTTTGAATAAAAAAATTTGTACAGAACATCTAGAAATATTATTGATAATAAAAAAATAAGCATAATTGTGAAAAAAAAAATTTTGTGGCTTTGACTTTATTACAAAGTTTTACGGGTCTGGTGTGGGAAAAGAGAGTTGTGTGGTGGAAGAGCCAGTGCGTCGACAGCCTCCGACCCGATCACGACGCCTCTCGACCCTTAGCGATCTTGGCGTCGCGACGGCGTGTTATTTTTTAAGTGAGAAACTTTTAAATTATCAACAATAAATGATAAAAAGAAATATTCTTAAATTATAAAAAAAAATTATTTCAAGTGCGTATTTTAAAATAATTATTAAAAATTCTTTATTGTAATTAATTAAATTTAATAATAAATACACAAAACTAATTAAAAAGTTTCACTCTTTTAATAAAATTAATATTTTTTAAAAATTGGAATAAATATAAAAAATATGAAATTTATCAATTAAATGTAAATATATGTTTCAGACTATTTTATGCATCGCGAATTTCAAGTGTATTATAGGGTGAGAATATTGAGATGTCAGGAAGCAAATAAAGCTAGAATACAGATAAAAAAAAAAGGTGTAGTTTTATGTGTCACTGGTACTTAGGAGATGCAGTTTACGTACATGATAAAAACGTATAATAGCCTCTTCTCGCCAAAATATCTCTGAAGGCTTTATTTTCAACACTAGCTTATTCTGAATTTTTCGATATTCATTGTCTCTTTTTCTTGAAAAAAAAAATAATTTTGTAATCAATGATTTTTATTTTATTTGGATAACAAAAATTTATGTGAAATTTCGTTATTACTTATGAAATAAATTTAAAAATGGTCACGTGATATTTTCAATTATAAACTCAATAAGTTCAATTAATACAAACAAAAGTTACACTATTGTGCGGTGATACGGTGCGTTAAAGTGGCGAGAAGCTTCGCAAGGTTTGTTAATTTGATTAAATGATTTTAATTACTCTTGTAAAACGGATACACTGAAATTTTCGCTTAAAAATACGCGATGGAAATGCTGTAATTAAAAGCAAAAAAAAAAAAAAGATAAAAAGTAATTAAAATAAATTTAAGTTTTGAATTTCCAATGTTCCAGCTTCTGTAATTAATTGCACTATCACTGAAACCTCTTCCGTTCTTAAACGAATATAACGAACCAACTGTAATGTTTCGTTGAAATTATGTCAAGCACTCGTTTCTAACAAGGATTTCTCTTATAGGTATCTGCTTTCGTAAAGAACTTTTCTCTTAGAGTGAAAGGGGCAGTAAATTTTTTTGTATTACAACATTTCTAAAAAAAAAAAATGAAATTATATACATCAATATTTTGAAAAATGAGAAAAAAAATTATAATTTAAACTCAACAGGTGAATAAGCTTTTATTCACTAATTGTTGTAAAGAATAATTTAATTCATCACACTAAACAAAGCGTCTTGATTTAAATCTATTTTTGAGTTATCGATCTATTTTTTTGAATTACATGTAATTTTTTATTTGCACCTATATTATATTTTGGAGTAAAAAAAAATGTTAGAAAAAATTTTTTTAAATAAGCGAGAATACATATTTTTGTGAAAGCTTTGAAAAAATAAATTCTAAAATGGAGATAGAGGTGAAAAATTGTCACCCGTAGCCTGGAAAGGTGATAGGCAAAATCAAGGTCAACCTGAATGAGTTTATCATTGATCTCACTGTGACTTTTTGAAGGGTGCTCATTGTGAAACCAACTTTAAAGCGATCGTCCATGCGGATATTCCGTTGACCTTAGTCGATAATTTATGAGGCGCAACGTATGCGCAAAAAGCGACCCATTTTTGTTGAAATCCTTAATTTTGCCTTTTGCTCATCGTCCTCGAATAAAAGCATTCTCTCGAGCGAGAAAAATGTTCCGAACAGTTTTTACCAACCCTTGAACAATAAGTTATATTGAGAAAAATCTGTAAATCACACGATGAAGTGAAAAAAGATTTTTGTCATACATTCAAATTAATATTTTTTACAATTTTCTTCCTTATATAAAAAAGAAAAATATATTTTGAAAATTTTAAATATTTAACTTATCATTTATATCGAATTCCCTAAATTGTAAGAAAATTTTTCCTCTCCCTGCCTCAAGCAATCATCTTCCAAAAAAGAAATTGGCTTTTATATGGATAATCTAAATAGTAATCTCCATATAAACTGCTTCTTAAATAAGAACCGATTTCGTTAAACCGCAAAGTGTCGCTTAAAAAGCTTTAAAGTTTATACAGCTTTCGCAGTCATTTACAATGCCAGGATTATAATATCAAATGCATACATATGCAGGACAAAGTTTTTTAAAATTAAAAAACCGCGCACTGACAAAGTTTTCTTTTGAAAGTTAAATAAACGATATATGGTAACGAATCCTTTTATAAAGCTGATGTAATTTTGCAGTTAAAAATTATTTCAAAACTTTACATTAAATTGTTTTTATTATACCAGCTTTGAATTATATAAGATTTATTTGGAATTCCGCTTGTGTCATGATTTATATATGTGAGGTTTTCCATTTTTTTTTTTTGTAAATATAAAATTCAAAGGATAATAAAGCTGAAAGAAGGGTATTCTTTGGTTGGCTTGTAAAAGCGGGTTCACAGGTGCGCTGTCCTCTTGGATTCATGTCTCGTGGTACCGCACCACTTTACGATCATTTTCGAGTAAACACATAGAGTTCATTGAATATACATCCCGTGAGTACAAGCATCAACTTAAAGTTTCTACTCCTTTGAGAAAGTATTTAAAAATAAATTCTCTGATGCAGAAACTTCTTAATAGGTGCGCAAACTTATTAAAAAAAAAATTCTTTCGAAAATTGTTAAAGATAAAAGAAAGAATAAATTGTCGTTGGTATAAATAACTAGAATTTTTCTTGACTGAATTATACAGAAATGTATAGTTTTGTTGCTTTCAGGCAATAAATATAGATATATAAACTATATGAGAAGAAAAGTTTTGTCGAAGACAGCTTTGTTGACCCGAACAAGTTTTATTAACTGTTATGGGAGAAAACTTTCCTGTGGAACTGTATAGTACATTTGCAATATAAAATTAATTGTTTGTACAGTTGTTCTTAAGGATATACTGATATTAATATACATTTTAATAGAAAACTATTCTTAAACATTATTTCCAAATTAATTGTACATTAATTTTACTGAAATTCGACCGATAGACTATATTCATTCTGAAAACTCAATCAGAATTCACTGGGGGTCAATTACGTAACTTTTTCCGGATCCCACATTTTACATTCCGTATTCCAGATTCCATATTTCGTATTTCACTTTCCACACTCCTGATTTAACATTCCGGATGCCACTTTCCACATTCCGTATCCTGGTCGATATGTATCCCAATTTTCCGGAATGTAGAATTCGGAATATGGAATCCAGAGAACGAAATGTGGTATCTGGAATACGGAATGTGGAATCCGGAATTTGGAATACGGAATGTGAAAAGTGGAATCCGGAATACGGAATGTGGGATCCGGAATGTTTAAAGTGGAATCCGGAAAAAGTTATGTAAATGACCCCGTGAAAAAATTGTATTTTAATTTTAAAAATATCTTCTTGGCGTCTGTTTAAGAATATTTCCCATGCATTTTTATTCTTATATAATATAATGTTTTTAAAATAAAAAAGTTTCTTAAATTAAAAATATTTTCTTTTGTCATAATAGAATATTCCTTAATTTAAGAATTGTTTCTTATTTTAAGATATTTTACCCAAGTAGCACGTAATATTAAAATGTCCGCCTCATGGTAATATTACCGGATAATGTTACTGTAATATTACACGGTAATATTAAGGCATTATTGAGGCATTTTACGTGTAATGTCCTGAGTTAAAAAATTGATTTCTCGAAAAAAAATTGAGAAATATTCTTAAATAGGCGCTAAGAAGATATTCTTTTTAGAATATAATTTTTTCAGTGATTGAACTTCTAATCAGAAAAGTATACTTTCATCTTTAACTTTGTAGATCTTTATATTTTGTTTTATTATTTTGAATCGGAGAATAATTTTTGCTATTTTTATTTTGGAAATGAAATTTTGTTTGTGCAATTAATTTGCAAAAATGATAAATGTAACTAAAATTATAAGTGACGTGTGTAATAAAGTGCAATAACGATATAGAGCATAACTCAACATTTATATAACTTGGTAAATGTGCTTTGATGTGTAACTTGCGTGACATCAAATCGCAGGATGCCACTATGACATTTCCCATATCATGATACCCGAATTCTCAACTCATCAGCAAACGTTGCTTGATTCAAGTTTCCTCCATATATACAAAGGCATGTTTGAGACAAGTATAAGTAAATATATAGAAATTCCTGTAACGACCACATCGAAGTCAGTTTCAAGAAACTTCTATTCAATATATATATATATGTAGAGGTGTATATATACAGTTCCGCGCTAATTAGGTAAATGAAAATGCAAAGACTCTTTGGAAGGGGTCTTGACTTTAATGAAAATATGCTTCTACCCTTTTTCCCTTTTAAATAAATTAAAGCAAAAATATTGCAATTCGTTTGAATTTAGATACTTTTCAAAATTTCTCTTTCATTATTTTTGTGGATTTATTTTATATTACTTAACAAAATATTGAAAGTAATTGCAATCAGTGCAGAGACAAATGTGTATAAATTATTATTCACGTACGCTTATTAGATGATATAATTAAACTGAGAAGTCGTTTCTACCACATGTGTGGTGTGTTCAAACTTTGTGATTTATATATCATAACATGAAAATGTTCTCCTGTTTCTTCGCTTCATGTTCTTATCTTTGTTATTATATATATATATGAGAAAGAACTAAAACAGTAAAAAATTTTATTCACTATTTAAAGAAATACCTATATATAAGGACTTTTGTTTATAAAGGAAATAAAGAAGTATAAGACAATTTAATATGATATGAAAAAAGGGTGGAGCAAATTCTAATTAACGTTAAATATGATCGAATTTTGTGAAAGAAGTCAAGACCATCAGACTTTAATGTCCTTAATGCTATTATTTCTAGCTTACCAAAGCAAAGTTTCGACCCTGGTTAATATAGAAGCGCGAAAAGCTTGCGCGGGAACTTTGATGATGAAGAAAAGAAGAAAAAAAAAGGTGATTTCGTGATCGACTCTGTCACCCCGTCGTCAATTTGAGTAGTTTCAAGGGACGAAAGAAATTTTTCTTATACGGAATTCTAGAATACAAAAAAAAGTATTGTTTTTTGTAAAAAATTTTTAATCATTAAAAGAATTTTTGCTATAATGAATTTCTTTAAAATAACGTTTAAAGAAGAGACAGAGGAAATAAACAAAGTCATTGTAATCAATTTCGTGTTACTTATCGAATAGTGATGAAATATTAATTTTATTGAATTGATACGACTATGCGGTTAAGAGCATTAAAACTAAACTTCCAATAGGTATGTGTTGAGACGAAAGTTAGGAGGAACAGTTACGACTTTCCATTGAACGCGGACTGCCTACATGAACACATTCCTAAATCGATCAGGATAACCGGCAGAGGCTATCCGTTTTCGATTAAGGTTAGTGTCGTACATACGAGTCGTGTGGGTGAGAAAGGGTTAGAAGATATATTAAGATCCTAAATTTTCCTGTCGCGCTAAATAATATCTCCAAAAAAAAAGTAAAATGGGTATATAGGAATTTTCACGTTAAATTTTTTCTCCGATATATCAAATAATAATTGTGACTCTTTTTATAATATTGTTAACAATCAGAATAAGGGAAACTAACTTTATCTTACAAGTTTTCACCCCTTGTAGAATTTCAACATTGGCTTGAGTTTACTTATATTTATTCATGCTGTAGACATTTCATCTACAAACGCAGTGCGAGAGGCTTTCCAGATCATGAATAATTATTACTATTTGAAAGAA